TCAGAACTACCTAGAGTGTACTGAAAATTACTATCAGTAACACAAAAATGAAAGGAATATACATACATGTTTTGGAAAAGAAGTGGAAAACAGGTAACATGACTCTTTTTCCCCCCTGAATTTCTCTCTGGCTGCCACCTCCATCCTTATAATCTTAGCAGAAAAAATGACCAGAGGGGAGAGAAAAAGAGAAAGGATCATTATCCAGAATGAAACAAACAAACAACCACCTCCTTTCTGGTCAAAAACAGACCTTTTTCTTCTCAGGGATTTGGAGGACTCAGCAGGAGAGTGCACTGGCAAAAGGAGATTTTTTCCTGACCGAGGAGTTTTAACCTCTTTGAAATTTATTGGTGCAGTTTCAAATCCTTGCATTTGTCTCTCTCTTTTAATTATTATTATTTTTTAAGTGTCTTCTCTGCCCCCTTTTGTGGGGGAATCCTTTTTTGGGTTCCACTGGGACCAGGAGGCTGAACTGTGCCGGGTCATCACTGTTCACATCTCAGCGACAGAAAATGTTTCTGAACAACAAGATAAATCCCATTTTCTTCTAGGGACACAGTACTGCAAGAGAGAGATTCCTGCAGAGATGAGAGAGATCAGGGAGGAAAGAAGAAACAAATCCCCAACAAGATCTGACTGATAACTAAAAACCAAATAAAGGAAAAACTGTTTTTCACTTGGTATTTTAATAATGTTTTCATTCTTGATAAAAATAGTTTTTTTTTTTTAAAAATAGCCTTATATGCACTTAAAAGACAGACTTAATCCTGACATGGTTTTTACTGGACAACCTCAACTCTTGGCTAGACTTGTCTGGGATGGGGATTTCAGGAACCCTCTTGGCTTTGCTATAAAAACGCACCAAGACCTCGGTCAACGTTTCTATCAGCAGCATTGCTGTGGGTTCTCACACACAGATGTTACTGCTGGAAGAATCAAAACCTCACTGATGACACCTAGTGTTTTTCCAAATCACAGCGAAGATGTCTCAATAAAGTGTTACTTAGCTGCCTGCATCAGGATCAATTTGTGCTGGGAAATCAAAGGGAGAGGAGACTGAAATACTGAAATTTGTTTGCTGACCAAGTACAGGACCCACCAGTTATAGGCTTTGCTGACTGCCCAGCAAACACAAGCTTGTGAAAACATCAAGCCCCAAGGAGAAAGGCTGGGGCAGCATTACCACCTACACAGAAATGCTCATGGGAATCACAGGTGGCACAAACTGTGCTAATGGAAACTGCATGCTGTAGGGCGACCTGTGAAGTGAGAGACCTGGTTTTGCATGTTTATTTTGCACACAGTGAAGGCAATGCTGTCCCAATACCCAGAGAGGCAAGAAAGTCAGTCCAGGCCCTTGAATTACACTTCATCATGGAGGTCAAAGCCTTTTCTAGCACAGCTGGTGAGTGCTAATAACCACTCAATAACCAATTCTTCTAGAGGATATTTGTGCGAAAAGGTTTGCTTGCATAAAGAGCAAGTCACAGCCTTAGATACAGTATTTCATGCAACTTTCAAATTGGCTACTTTTGCTAAAACCCAAACAACATTTGACAGTGATAATCACCAGAGGAGAAAAACGGGTTGTACTAAAGATCACTAGAAGAAATGGGTTCTGACTGTGGATATATAATGAGCAAGAAAAAAGGCAGATCAGATGCAAGCCCACTGTACAGGAGTCCCGCTGGTTCCTGTCAAGGGACCAGCAGAAGGTTTTGCTATTTGTGAGGAGTGTGGTCTAAGAGTCATGAGTTTGTGTCCATCTCCCCACTTCAGGCAGGTGAAAATCCAGCCAAAACAACTGAGAAGAGCAAGAGAGAATGACAGAGTGAATGAGATTTCCCAAATCTCTTAATCCTCAGACATCAGCCCAAACAAACAGGACCAGCCACATGCATCACTGAAGGCTGGTCAGTGCAGACATATCCATAGAGGTACAAGTCTGGCAGAGCACCACATTGGCACAGCCTCTGCTTAACAAATGGATCTTCAGGGCAGCGTATTTCTGGGAAAGCTTTTGGTCATTTCTCAGCACTCCTCTGTACCCTGAGCAAAGCGATGACTGAGTGCTTGCAGCCTGACCGTGTCATGGGCTTGACAGTCCTGCTGATTTCAAGCAGAGCTCTATCAACCGTGATGCTGTGAATAATAACCTCATGGATTTCTATTTATTGTGTCTCACTGATTTCCAAATCAAGTGAACTGAAAAAATAAATAAATTAGTACGAATACAGCTGCCCCCAATGACCTAGCCAGGCTGAGTTCTTTCTTGTTTACCCATCAGTGCCAATTAACAGCCGATGAGTGAAGCTCTGTCTTTATTTGTACACGTGAAAATGAAAAGAATTCCTGTGTAGCTGTTGCACTTTAGATGTTTAAATGAAATAAATCTCTTTTCAGAGCTACCTTACCTACAGCCAGGTGTCCTGGAGCCCTTCTAAGAGGAGCAGCTCCAGGATCTCCCTCTCAGACTGCAGAGGAGGGAAAAGAGGATACTGTGTCCCCTCATTTCTTCCTTACAGTGAGGGGGGAAGAACTTTCAGTTCAGTTTTAGCTCTCTTTTCCCCCACAAACAGTCCTGTGGGCTTGAAATGCCCACTGTTCCTTTACCTTAGTCCTATGCTACTAGCTCTATACATCGCATGGCAACATAATTCATGAACAACTCCATCAAAGTACGTGGAACCAAGCCAGTAGAAGAAAGAGGAAAGAAGCAGCCTAATTTTTTCCCTCTTAATTTGGTCCATGTGTTCTCCGTTTTCTTTTCCATTAGGCAAATAGCCATTTTGCAGCTATTTTTTTCACTCAATTTTGCAGTATTGAGTGCTCAATGCTGTATATAATATAACTCAAAAAGGTTACCAGGCAACATAGTTCAGCTGTTCAAATCACACAAGGCCATCGCTAATTTAAATCTGCCTTTCCATTTGCTCTTGGACAAACATGAGGACTGAGATTTCATGGACTAGGACTAAATCTGGCCAGAGATTTTTTTTTCTGCTTTTACTTTTATTCAATTTTTGCACAAAAATATAATATAGAAAACTATTCTGAGAAGATTTTCCAGCTTTATTTTCCATCAAAGCAGAAAAGTCTGGATTTTCTGTTGCGTCCTTTCCCCCTTTTCATCCCCTTCACTCTGCTACATGGCCCAAGGATTCTCTTCCATCAATTTGCTTTGTTATACTGCAGCTTTTCAAAATTTGGCTATGCTTTTGAAAGTGTTGGAAAACAGCAAGCGGAAAAATGAAAAAAGGAGAAGTGCCAAGTTATAGATTTAATTTACTCTGATACCTTCAGTGAGGAAGCATAGAAACCAAGGAAGAATGCTTTTAAGTTGTAAATACTTCTGAAAGAAGTATTTCATGAGAGCTGGGAGACAAACAATCCATACAAAGCATAGCTTTAACATGTTTAAGGAAACTCTGCTTTATTTTCTCACAGGAAGCTGAACTCAAACTTTGACCTCCAGTTCCTCCATCTCTCAGCTTTGGGTAACAGATGGGATCCTGAGACCCTCTTGGAGCAATGTTTCCATTTTTACCAGTTAAATATGGAAAAGAAGGGGGCTCTGCTAATTCCCCAAGGCAACGTCACTTCTCTTTGGGCAATGCGCTTGAATAATAGCTTACGTTAAAAAAAATAAAAGGATCCTGAAGGAGCACAGTACAAAACCATCAACGAGCAATGTAGTTTCAACTTTTGCTTACTTTACATTTAGCGTACACACCCACTGTTGGCCCTCCTGCAGGTCAGAACACATGTAACTATGAACACAGTGAAAAGCACCACTCTAAAAACATCTATTTTTAAAGACTGACTGCTCTTCAGCTAGCACATGGCTCTTCTCTTAATGAGCTCCCTTGTATCACTAAACAAAACACATAACGAGCTGAAGTTGCTCCCAGAAAAGACCCCAAAAGTGATTAATGGGAAAAGGAGCAACTATTACTAACAGTAACATTTTCTGCACCCATGGCTTCAACGGCAACTTCTGCTACTATCTCATCCATTAGCATCTAGCAGCATAATGGGTGACCACAAATCCTGGTTGGACTGGGATTTTGTTACTGCACTGTAGAATTGGCTCTGGATAGAAGACAGACAAAATTCATAAAGAGACAGAAAGGACACTCTCCCATCTGCTCTCTGTCTCTTCCTCATTACTGCCAGCATGCTTCTCATTGGCAAGGTTGCAGCCACATGTTAACAGCAGCAGTAATATGGTAACAGCACTGGAAGTGGCAAAGCAGCATTAGCGAAGCATGTTAATTACTTTAACATGACAACCAAGGAGTGTGTTAATTAACAGCTTAACCTGCTTGTACAGCTCACAGATATTGACTTTATTTGGCTTCCCAGATTGCTTTTGTGCGGTCTACAAGGAGGCTTTCAAAGCCAGAGCAGTAAAAATAAAAAGACATTTTCCTTTCATTTGTGGGATTTAGTCAATTTCATAATAATTTTCTCCCAAGCTGCTTCATAGCAACAAGGCTGGTAGAAGGCAGTTCTACCTTTTCTGCTGCTTTCAGCAAAAGTTATCACTGTAAGAGAGGTTTCAGAGGTATTCTATATGAACACTGGACATTTTTGGTATTTAGACGCAGACAAAGGTCCAGGTGCAGCGAAGAACGAAGAGTTGTAGAAAGGAGTAGAAAGCAGCGCTAAAGTTTTGTCCAGATTGAGCAGCTGTGACTTGCGAGCATCTGTGATGGAAAAGCACTATATCTCTTCAGTATGTTCAGTACTAATAAAAGCAGCTGAAATGCTTCTTGGATATGCTAGGCCTCAGGGAGACAAAATTATGCTCAGAGAAGAAAAGCAGAAAGCACAGCACAAAGCAGAGCCTGCGTAAGCAAGGGAATGGATCCTGTACCCCCAATATTCCCTTACTGCCAGCCCCAGGCCACTGAAGGATATGACAACCACCAGCCCATTCCTCTAATTTACTCCTTGATAGGTTATTTTTTATAAGAAATAAAATAAAATAATACCTTATCAAAAGCTGTATCTTCTAACCACTCCTTCACAGAAACATCGGTTGCAGTTTGTAAGGGGGAATGAAATCACTCTTCTATTGCTTGCCTGATGCTAACTGGGGACACCTGCCATGGTGTTGGGGTGGTAGGAGAAGGCAGAAGTGTTCTCAAGAGCTGAAAACAGCTGTGAGAAATTTCACCTGTTGTACCAGTTTTAGGCAAGCAACTTTCTATCCTTTATGGTGGCATTTTCATTCAGCTTGCTCTTGTTCTGAATTTGCTCCCTCCCTGTTGCATTGCCACTTGTCGGTCTGGCCTGTGCAGCTCTGCCAAGTTTCAGCTTACACCATTAACATTTTCTCTCTCACTTCATGGTCTATATACTTCATGCTTTAAAACACCAACAGCTCTGTTCTCCCTCCAAAGCCTCTGTGCTTCCAGATCCAAAGCTATACTGTAGCTTTTAGTTCTACTGCATATTCATCTTAAAAATTAAGTTTTTGAGATGCTGCTTTTCCTCTGGACCAGGCTCTGCCAGATGCTTTCTCGTTATGTCAGGCAGATTCAATTTCACTTTCCATTGGACTAAATATTGCTGCAGATACCCAACACTTTCAAACTGCTACATAAAAATAGAGAGACCTTTCATCCACTTCTTTTTTAGTTGTTTCCAATTCCTTGTAGTTCATGTACAAAACAATAGAAACCTTTGCAGTGAGCATTTCTGGATTCTTACCAAACTACCAGCCAGTTTGGATGGCAAGAGCTCAGCCCTTTGCTATTAATGAGCTGAGACGTGTCTTCATGTACCTGGGTGCCCAGAAGCTGGATATAGCCCCTGCGTCACCTGAAATCCAAGAGCACCCATCCGGCACGTGGCACAGGACGTTCCCAGGAGCTGCAGACTGGTGTCTTGTTTTTAATGGGTATGTTTCCTCTGAGTGTTTTGGAGCAGCGAAAGGATAAAAGCTTATGGTTTTAAAAGGTATCACTGCTTCAAATGGCAGTAGCATACGTGGCCTTTCCCTGAATAATGCCAGTGAAGGACTTCACTACTTCCTTTGCCCTTTATCCATAAAACAGCTGCTTTGTTTCCACTGCTCCCCTCTTTTGCTGCTGGTGGAACTGGGAAAAAGCATTTTTACCCATGAGAAGGACATGTCATAGATGTGGAGACAGCCACAAAGAGCTGTGCGTGGAGAGAGGTTAAGTGGGATGCAGTAAAGACTTAAATCCCAATAGTCTGCTCAAAAGCAACCCCTTTCCCCAGCACCTAGTGGCAGTCTTTTAGTCACCCCACCCTTTTGTTCTTCAGGATACAAATAACCTGGAACTACCAACATCCCCACCACAGCAGCACCTAGCTGCACACACTACCCAGGGAGGAACAGTGCATGAAGAGATGCTGGTTAAATAGGCTATTACTTCATGCAGCAAATTCCAGGAAAATGCGTTATTTAGATTACAAGCACTCAGAGTGGGAACTGCGAGTACAGCACTTGAGATAAGGAGGAGACCAGATAGATTTAAATAGCACATCCTGGTATGACTTATTATGTAATTATCTGCTCCCCATCACCCCGAGGTCTGCGTGTCTCAGGCAGCTAAAAATAGAGCTGCTTCCCTCTGCTCTGCCGTCCTCTCCTTGCAGCCCCTGGGGGAAAAGACTCGACTCAGCCCCTTGTGTTTGGGTGGGTCCTGTGAGCAGCAGCAGCCAGGGGAAGCAGCAGTCACCCACCTGGAAGGAATGCTACTCTCTCCCAAAGCTGCAGCAGTTGCTAAGGTGAAGATATACTCACCTGAGTTGCACCTTGGTCCAGAGGCTGCCCTCAGAAAGCATCGCTTCTCTGTTCTCCGGGGAGGCAAATATCTCCTGCCAAGGCACCCTGTGACTCCAGTCACCCCAGGCTACAGAAAAAAAAAAAAGAAAAGAAAAAAAAAGGAAAAAAAAAAAAAAAGAACAACTGGAAATGCTAACCTTTTATACACTTTATTTTTTTTAATTTAAGTTTCTGTTTGCTGCACCAAAAATAGACCAAAGCTTTTCCTTTTACACCTGTCTGTGAGCAGCAGTGATGGATGGGCGCTGGGAACATTAGTGTTTCTCATATTTCACCAGGTCAGTATGAGGACATTTATGCAGGCATGATGCACGTCCTTATGCCACCCTCAACCATTTCCTTTATGGGACAAAATAACAATATTATTGATTTTTAACAGAACATCCCACACAGCACAGTCACAAGGTTCTGGGACTCTTTCTGTCATTGCCAATGCTTTATAAAACTGGGCCTATAAATCTGTTACTATGCAAAAATTAAACTACCTGTAGACTAGAATAGAAGTGTGGGCAACAATTTTTCCAAACTGATTATTAAAAAAAGTTACATGTTTGGGGAGAGAAGACTTGGAAACCCTGCCCTTACAAATACCATTTTTTCTTTAATTTCAGTTTACATCCATGAAGCGTACCGGAATAAAGAGTCAATATAATTGATCCAGTGCCTGCTTTTTAGTCGTGTGTCCTAGAGTGGGTCCCAGCCATATATTTCAGTGGCAATCCTGACTGTTTATTTGAGTCTATAACTTAAATTCACTGTTCTATGTAGGTAGAAATACTAAGTTGCAAAATTTGGGTCCCAGATGAGATTCAGCATCACTGCTGTTACGTTTTTCAGATCTAGGAGTTTGCTCTGTATTTTTGATGTATTTTTATTGTTGAAATCCAAGTATTTTGATTATTTTGTCCACATGCTGCAATGAGGGGGAGTGAAGGGTCTGCTGTCTGTGCTTGGACTGGAGAGAGTAGGAGACTGCCACAATGCTGCTACCACCTGGGCATGTGCTTATGCTACGTCCTAGCCTCTCCTGATGTTAAATGAGGATAATTACATTTTCCTCCTTCCCAGAAGAGCTGGGAGACAGCCTGTTGATAAGTTAGTCCTCGAAGGGCTTGCCAACTCCTTAAAAAGCCTGTAAATATTTTGCAGATACCCTTTAACTACAAGCACGGCCTGTTTCCGCTCCAGGTGTCTCAGGCCCTTTCCCACACCTCCCTGATGCCGTCAGAAGAGCAGGCAGAGGGTGAGGGCCTGCCCACGGGGGCAGTGAGGGGGTAAGGATGAGGACAACAGACCCCAGAGCTCCTCGTGGGGAGGAGCAACCAAAGCAGCATTGCGTTTTGCCCACAGAATCCAGTGGCCTTACTGCACTGCTGGTTCCTGCTGTTATCTATGGGGTCGAAGTCCTGGGTGTAGGGGAGGACACCAGAGGAGACCGTCGGTGGAGATACGGATATATTCGCTTGCTCATACCCTACAAGAACTGGAGGGCACCAAATGCAATTACAAGGCATTATCTCCAAACAAGCCAAGGGAGGCTGTGCTTCATGGAAATCCTAATTAAACTGCAGAGCCCCGGGGAGGTGTTGTGGTTGTTAGGCTTTCACATGAGTCCCAGAAGCAATTCCATAAATCCATGGAAGGAAAAAGTCTGTGAAGGCTTATTAAATACAATTTCTGCCATGGAATGCTGAAGGCTGGGAGAGTAAAGAAGGAAATTATTAGTATATGCTACAGTTCTCTTCCTAGACACTTGTTGCTGGCCAGGACATTAACTTAAATAGACCCTTGGTCTGTATGATTTTTTTTTTTTCATTATTTTTTTAATGCAAAAAATCACATTCCTGTCTATTCTGGCTGTAAAGCAAAGCTTGAAAAGGTCAAGACTCAAAAATTATCTAAACAGAATTCATCGTAAACAGAATTCATTTTTACCCAGTATCATGATTATTTCAATCTGTCATTCCTGAGTGTTTGGGATCATCCATCTTGAGCTTGGCTGTGGCTGCTGGAGGCCAGGACTCGAGGAGCAAGATGGAGACTTCTTCACTATCTGCTCTTTGTCTTGAGAGGCCCATTGTTTCCCACCCACAAGCTGATTTTCTCTCTCTCTCTTTTTTTTTTTTTTTTTTTTTTTTTTTTTTCCCCTAGGCTTATTAAGCCTGCTGATATCCCTGCAGCCTGTGCTATCAGAGTTTTCAGTATTTTAGAAACAGCAGCATGCCAGCAGTACACAACAGCCTTGTCTGAACTGGTGGCATGTGAAGAGGCACAATTCTAGCAGGCAGGCTCTGTGGGATGCTTGAAATCACCCTCCCAGTTTTCCAGTTTCCACCCTTCTCTCATAAGCTTTTGGAAACCACACTGTGGTCAAAATGGAAACACGGCTGTGGAAGCTTCTCGTCTGGAAATCTTAGTTGTTAATTCTTGCTGGACAGGGAGAATTTCACCCCAAAGCATGTGCCTTGGTGCGTTAACAGCACCAAGTGCAGCACGAAGACCCAACTGTGAAAGCCCATCTACCAGACACCTTCGGCAGGGCTCAGAAGCTGTTCCAGGAAAAATCATCACGCTGGGAAAAATAAATTCAGAGCAGCACAGAAACAAAGGCTTTCTGAGGAAACATCCTATGCCAGAAGGGATGTATGCCAAGGCATCCACGAAGAAAAAAAAAATAGAAAAGGGGGTGAAGGGAGGGAAGAAAAGAAGAAAGAAAGAAAGAAAAAAAAACAAAACAAAAAAAAAAAACAAAAAAAAAACACATTAATGCCCAAAGTAGGCAAGACAGTGAAACCACGGAAAACCACTTTTCACTTGCCCATTTCCTGTGTCCTAGCAGACCAGTACATCTGGTACACCAAGGGGTGGGGGGATAAGGCATGCAGCAGTGAGCCACAGGGGCTGTACAGGTTTCGGCACTTGCTGCTGGATTCCCTAACACTGCAAAATGAAGTCTTCAGCTGTACTGCGATTGTAAACAGCCTCTGGGGCCAGGAGGAGAAGGCCAAAGCAGCTCGGCTCACAGAAGCTGGAGTGTGTGGCTTTCAAGCAGTGGTGGTGAAGAGGGAATAAGAACAAAATGCAGGCTTGGCCCTTCCAGGCAGCTGAAGCTGAATTTATTTCCACATTGCAAAATACCTTAGGGGACAGGCAATTTTTCCACTAAAGCTGGCAAAAAAACAGATGACAGAGCCTGCTGGTCATTCAGCAGTGTCTCCCCTTGGCAAATCAGAAGCAGCTACATACTCGATGGCTGGATTTTGTCAGGACATTTGCTGCATCTCCCCAGTGGGGCTCCTGCCAGTCACTGATGTACTGACATCCAAACCACTGTCCCTTTTAAAACTGGCAGCAAATCAGACTTCTCAAGACTTTCTTAACACCTGATTTTGTTTCTGCAGCTATTTGGACTTTTAAAAGTTTATTACTGTTCTACTGAAGCAATGAATATGAGGCTGTAGTGTGGTATTAGAGTCATTTCTTTTATAACCCCAAAACACACAGGTCCTGGGCACAAAAAATAACCAACACTTAAAACTCCATCAGAATCCATTACTTCACTATTAACTAATTCTAACTTATTCCTGTTAACTAATGCTAACTTATTCCTGTGCTGAAACAGACATTTCACTTAAAACCATCGTCTTCCCCAGACATGTTTAAAGGCAGCCATATCCCCCCAGTTTTCTTCTGTTAGGTTTAACACAACAAATGAAGTGTACAGCTATAGGAGAAACTTCTCATCCCCCTTCCCATCCCTCCTCCACATACTCCACATATCAATTTTTTCTGTTTTCACTACCAACGGTGAGAAATGTGTGCAGTACTCCAGATGAGACATCCTTGTTGTGTCATCTATAATGGATGACAATGCTCCTTTCCACCGTCAGATGGGAAATTCTCCTCTGCTGCAGGACTTTTTCTGTCTGCATCCAACAGATGAATACAGCCAGGTCTTTTTCTGTTCCCATCTTTGGATAACCCAACAGAAATGGACTCAGGATAGACCCACCAGCCACTTCATCTCACTTGGATTGCTTTCACCAGATGGAACCATCTGGGCTCCAGCTCCCTTCCTACAAAGATGGAGTTGGCCGTTTTGCTACAGCCCTGGTGGCTCAATTTCCATTATAAGCTCTTGTTTTCATTTGGTTTACATTGACCAAATTCAAATGTGTTCAGTCTCAAATTTTCCACACTTGTAGGCTGCTCTAGGCTGGATTTTTTTTTTTCCCTCCAACTCAGGAAATGGGGATCATTTGTTTCCAAGAGCACGCCCATGGAAAATTAGTTGTTAACGTTAAATACATCCATCTGCTTCTTTGAAGAGCTTTACCACCTGCTTACAGTGGAAAGGAACCTAAAAATTGGCAAAGAGAAACTCCCGGGAGACATCTTCTGCTGTCCTCATGAAAATCTACCTACATTTAACACATATCCATATAAATTTCTAAAAATTCTCATTTTTGCATGCATCCGCTATCACATGTCTCACACTGTTCCACGGGGACCAGGCTTGCCCCTTGAGATGGAAAGACAAGTCTGGGACGTGTCACCCTGAGAAAGTTGTGCTGCTGGCAATGGCAGCTGTGACAAACCTTCTCTCATGTTATTGCCTATGTCTTTGCTCATTCAGTCCAGCACAGGGTCCTGAGGATGACAACGGCCTTCTGAAAATGCTTTAAGAAGGTAAATGCATCTGGCTTTTAAACTAAAAATATTTACATGATACACATGTTACGTGTGACAAGCACAGCTTAAGCATCCCACAGCCAAACTCTCCACTGAACTATTTGTCCATTCAAAGCATGCAGCCAGAACGTTAAGGTATAGACTGAAGCTATGGATGATTTGCAAACCAAGAAATAATCACCAGCTTGCATTGAGATTACCCAGGAGTGGCAGCTGAATCTCGGCTGCTTTCACCTTGTCTGACCTTACCTTGCAGTTGCATGGCACTTCTGAACTGAAGCACAGTCAATTTTTATGTTCCCAGCTGAGAAAGGAGTCTGTGCTTAAAATGCTGCATGATACACACCTAAGCTTCTACCTCTCCACTAGCTTACATGGCTTTCAAGTAGTTGTGACAGAAAAAGATTAAAAAAATATATCAAAAGCCTACAGACCAGGTGTAAAAAAGACACAAAAATGAGTAAAGAAATTTAAAAAGAAGGTATTTCCCTCCATCCAGTGTTTTTCAATTTTGTGCATCACATGTCTCTTTGGAACACAAACATTTATCAGACAGCAGAGTGGAAGGGTTTCCTTATTCCTTGATGTCTCCTGGAAGGAGGGAAGTAAATGGGTGTTTGCAAACTGGATGAGCTTTGTAGAATAAAGTAGTATAAACCTTGCTTCATGCCAACTCAGCAAGATTTATTAAGATTCTAATAATTAATCTTTTTTTTCTTATTTGAAACTTTTATTTAACTATCAAAATTAATTGTTCACTGATTTATGGTAAAAGGCAACATTTACACTTGTGGTCTGAACTTGCTGTTATTCCTGAAAATTGGAACATAACCTATAGTTGTGCTATACAAAGACTTAGCACGAACAATCAATGTTTGGCTTATCATCATTCAGATGTAGTGCAAAGATCAGAGTCTGCTGCCACAGTTCTAACATATTGCCTTGGGCTAATTCTTTCAAATGTGTGTAATTTCTAACATCCCAGTTAAAACAATCTTATTTTAAAAGTTGCTGAGCAACTTCAGATTTTCCCAAGTCAGTGAACTCTAGTTTCAGATGCCAACCTGTCAGGCTATGGTCTCAATTAGGCAAGTGCTTGGTTGCAGGTGAGTAGCCTATGTGACCTGAATAGAGCTGCTCTTGTAAATGAAGCTATACATACACCTTCTTATTCACTGGATCAGAGCCACAGGCTTCAAAAGCTGTGACTCAACTTCCATATTTCTCTGGCTGGTTCCTGAAATTAATCATTAAGAAAAACAAAGGATGCATAGTTTGATGTAATTCCTAAGAATTTTTTTATTCTGTTTGAGTGAACCAATACATGCCTTTGTGAAGTGGGAATCAGCAGTTAATATTGTACATTTGTATGTGCCATCTAGTCTAATGTGGCAACAGAGAAGTACTTAAAATTCTTCTGTATAGTAGTAGTCAATTTAAGACTGATTTATTCCATGACTGATGTTTCTGCAAAATCACACACTGATGGTAATAAATGTATCTGATATTGCATACAACCTTGTTTTATCACTCTATTGCTATTTCATTTGGCATTCTAGCCTAAATCAGTTGAAGAACACAGTAATTTTGACATTAGCTGCAGAAGCAGCAGCACAAATAGTGAATAACATCAGCAGTATAAGAGTGGAACACTTCTTTGCACATACCTCAAAAGCCCATTAGTTTTCTGAGACACATTATTAGTTCTAGCACATATGCAAGAGATCACTGGAAAGTCAATCTTGCAGGCTAAAAAGTAGAATGCAAAACTTTGTCTGGATACAGGGGAATTTGTTCACTGTTGCTTTAGGTCTTATTTTCTTCATTCCATTGTAAAATATGGCAATATCCTGTCTACAGTCTTAGCGGTACAAGTCTGTGAACACCAAAGTGCAAGATCTTCTCAAGGGCATGTTTTTGTATCTTGGAACACTGAAATTCTTTGTTATTGTTATTTAGAGTTAATTACAGCAGTAAAAGTCAGGTACAAGACTTGGAAGGCTTTTAAGAACATTTGCTTCCAACATCTGGATCAAGAAGAAAGGAGATACTGCAGCCGAGGATATTAAATGCAAGAAGTAAGGTCACTGGCTGCACAGTCGGCATAGGAAAAAAAATATTAAAAACAAAACAAAACAAAACAAAAACAGAAGAAGAATCAAAGGTGGCAAAGGAGTATGTTAAGCTTCATCCATTTTCCATGAATGGGGTATTTAATTAGGATTTGCTTACTCGCTGTGGCCCAGACCACATGCTGGATGGCAGCCTGGCACCAAGGAGGTACAGGTGAGAAGGTCCCCATTCCAGTCCCTGGCAGCTGTGCCATACCACCCGCTGACTGGCACTGGTCCTCCAGCAGAGGAACTGCATCTGGAAGCACTGAGCTGACTGCAGGAGAGCCTGGCATGATGCCTGAGCCCAGCAGAAAACCTGCTGCCCGTTGGGCATGGCCTTTGGCAGCCTGGCTGGGGTTATGTACAACTATACATATGCAGACACACCTATGCTCCACCACCCCTTCCCCCCACACCCTCTCCAAAAAATAAGGAGGTTTGTGGGCCTCATTTCTGGTGAGGGTCTCCAGACACCTCAAGTAGCTCAAGTAATAACGGAATTGATGGCTTTAGCATTGCAATAAGCAGCCTGACAGGAATACCTCTTGGCAGCCTGTATCAGTAATCACCACTGTAACTTAGCAGAGGTTTATGTCCCCAAAAGAGCAAAACCTATCCCAAAGTCAAGTGTCTCAGTCATCTTGAAGGTCTGCTATGCTGACACCCTGCAGGGCATGGGTCTGTGAGGTTGGAGGTATTCCTCTCTCTTCTGAGCTGCTTTGGCCTTCAGTTTGTACCGCAGTCATGTTTCAACCCTGATACTCTCTTCTAGTTGCAAACAAGATGTGCATTATCCTCTTCATTGAAACAAACAAACAAACACAGCAAGTGACCACACCCAAGCTTTCTATCTTTTTGGCTGTTCTTTACATCAGGAGAACAAGGAGATGACTTCTCAAGACCAGCCAGTGTGTCCACGCTACTTGTAAGTGCTCTCAGTGCTCTGCACCGAGATGGAGTCACAGGAACAAACAGAAAGCAGGAACAGAAATTCCCATGTCCAGACATTTGTTGGATGTCTACTTGTTGGATGTTGGAGTGCGACTAGACTTACTGGAATAAAAATTTGCACTGTTATATCCAGAGAAACTCTACCAAGAGAAACTTTCTACCAAGATATACTGATGTTATGTGAAGAATAATGTGGTTCAACTTGTCTGCATATGAAGGTCAGAGACTGAAAGAGAAGATGTGGAGAACATGTTTTAAGAAGGGAAAATGATTTACAAAAGAAAGAATGCATTTAGGAATAAAATGCTGGGAGGGTCTTGCATGCCTGGGCTATAGCATAAAGCACAGACCAAATAAACACTAACCACCAGTAAAATGTGACTGCAGGTCTTGTACCAAAGACCACAGTGCTATGGAGCTTTCTCCCCAAGGTGACATCTTACCCACTCCGAAGGCCTCTGGTAAGGGACCTGTAGGAGAAGACATCCTTCTGGGACATTTTAGAAGAATAGAGAAGAATCTCCACTGAAGAAACAAGTGATATATAGCAGCCAAGGCTTTATTTCTTCTCAACAATGAATTGTCAAGCCAGTTGTGAAAGTTCACCCTTTTAATCACATTAGGATTCATCCACATTTAATCAACATTGTAAGTGAAGGTGCTCTAAATGCTTCTATAGGTGGAATTATAAGTTTTAGCACATTGCATTTAGCACATTCACCTTGCATTGCGACATTCAGGCGATTGCACTAATGCTGAGGTAAAATCCAAACTTCTATCACTAAACTTTATAAGCAAGCAGTTACTTCCCAGTTACACAGTAAGTCCATCTTTCTACATTTAGGAAGCTGCCTATTACAAAAAATAAAGTAAAATAAATAAAATAAAAATGCTGAAAATAATTTGATTAAAAGACAGGTCAGGTCATCTAGCAGTATTATCTCTGGGGCTGGTGGAAGCTGTGGCCTCGTGGTGCTTCCCTTCGCCATCCAGAAGAGAGCTGCCAAAACATGAATGCTGTTTCACATGCAGGTAGCAGAAACATGCAGCAGCTCCCCTTGCTCTTGGTTCAATTATTTTTCCCTCTGCTGGCATCTGTGGTTACAAATCAAGGTTCAGGGCCCCACGAAGCAGGAGAACGACTCAACTGATGGTACTCGATCATGCTGCCAGATCTTCCACTGCTCATTTCCTGCAGTGCAGTCTGAAAGAAAGCTTGTTTCCATGCCTGAACTGGTCTGGACAAAGATAAAACTGAAGGCTGCCTAGTGACTACTGTATAAACATACAAAAAGCCTGATGATCTAACCTACAAGGCTTCAGTTATTTGGTATAATTAAGCAGAGAAGATGCCAAGAAAATAATTGCCGGAAAGTTTTCTTTTGACACACTTATGATAGAAATTTCTCAACAGCTTCGAGGAACTCTGTTGATGAGCTAAGCCCTTCCAAATCCAACAGATTACTCTTTTTGTCATGGAAGTGGAATATTTCAGTCTCTTCCTCATCAAGTTCCTCTTGAAATAGGTTTGTCTCTGAGGTAGGAATGATAATGATGCGAGGGACTGTATTGCTAATGATAGAGTCCAAGCCTCTATTATTTAGACTTTCTTGAGCTTGCATCCATGGAGTATCTGAGCCTCCTCCTCTGCTGACGTTGCTGCTATTCAAACCGACGGGCAGAGAAGCTGCTCGTAGGGAGCTGGCCACGAGTGCTTCAGGGGGACTGTGTAGGACTGACTGCCCAAGCACCTTCTCCAGACAGCTGGAGGACAGTGACACCTGGAGCGGAGACATAAGCTTTAGTGTCATCGTACAGCACAGGTCTATCAAAACCAATATTTGAAACATTCAGTATCACTGTTTGCTACTCGAGTCACCGGTCATATTTTCTAAACATTTGAATCACTAACTAGAAAGAAGGAAAATCATGATGTGTTAACATCTGCAGCTTGGAAAGCGGAATGTTAAAAGAAACAAAAGACAATGTGCTTTAATACCATCAGAGATCAAAAAGAAAGAAGAAAAGCTCATTCCTTTATATGAAAACAAACAAACAACAACAAAAAAAAAAACACTTTGCCATTTTTGACATGTCTCAAGGTACTGGATAACTGTACTTCCCTCTCTCATTGAAAAGATTTCAGGCAAGACTCTAGGACATTATACTCATGGTGTCTTGAAGTGGCTCCTTCTACTGCCTCATGCAAGCTTGGTAGCTTTGTACACTGGACAGTACTTCCACCAACGAAGAAAGGAAGAACAGCAACTGAGATTCTGCTTTACTAACCATTTCACATCTGTTTGTTTTCAAAGAACTCAAATTTCTAACTTGGCCCTGATGGCAACTCCTCTGTGACCTTTACATAACTCTTTCTGCACAGTATAAAAAACTAGAGTAAAATAAGTGAGCTTTGAAAGTGTTAGTTAATATTTAAATGCACTGGCAATGAAAGGCATGAGTGCTTAATTTTTGCTTGCTGTAGAAAATGATAGTTAAAGTCATAAAATCACTGTGCCAGATAGAGAAAGATGTTATAGATTCTTCCTGGGAAAAATCAACATTTAACGTACAATGCAGAGCTTACTTCATCTGACAGAATTCAGAGTAAGAGCAAGCTTTACTGAGATTGCTATAGAGCATCTTTCTGCGTTACAGTTCTACTTACTACTCTTAATACGGTTTTTAAGTACATTAATTATCTACACTTTGTGTGGGCCTCTTTTAACAGTTTTGTAAAATATTCCCTCTGTTGTAGATATACCTATGGCACCCACAAACATCATTAATTCAACTTCAGCATTCTTGAAGCATTCTGGTATGTAATACACATTGATTTATAGGGCCTTGATGCTGAAACAGCTTTTAAAATTGTTAGGCCAGATTGTAGCATGATTACAGTCCAGCATGGTGACTCTTAGGCCTCCGTCTCCCTGTAGTCAGTGGGCTGCAATTATTGCCTTTATGCTTACAAAATAAACAGTTCCTTAACTCAAATAAGGAAGGCTTTGTTAATATTATTATTTAGATTTTGGGACTGTCATTTTATAAAGTAATTTGGTAAAAATACGTAATTGTATAGCATCTAGTTTGATTTTATAGACAAAAAGCAAATGCATTTGTTTTCAAAAAAATGTCATGTTTTTGCAAAATAAAAACCAGACTTTTTGCTGTGGATATCTCACTCTGTCAGTCTAGGTTTAAAATTAGATACAGGCATACACTGCTGCATTATGAAGTTCTATTCCACAGGCAGAAATTGTTTACAAATACCTATTGATAACAATTTCTCTAGCCACTGTATCTATCCACTGGAGGGAAGCATAATATGCTAAAAAGTGGTTTAAATAAACCTGACAGAGAAGTAAAATCTGTTCTTCCAAATCAAGACTGCAAAAGAATGAGAAAAACAAAAACAAACAAACAAAAAAAAACATCCCTGTCTGCTGTTTTAACTGTACCAGAAGGTTGGGTTTGCTCTGCATATGGCTTAGTGGGCATGACACCACTTCCAGGTTTTCCCGTAGGGAGAGCCTTGCTAGCACTGAACTGGTCTGGACAAAGATAAAACTGAAAGCACTGGGACAGCTAATCTGGGGATGGTTTCAGCCCCTGCTGACTCAGTGCAAGGAGTGAAGAGAGAAGAAAAGAGCTTGGCACTGATTCATCTGAGTGACAGCCAATCCCCCCACCGCCCTGCTGAGGGAAGTCATCCTGGTCCCAGAGGACACAGAGCTTTCCCAACAACTGAAGCACTTGTTCATGACAGTGTTTAAAGCAGCACTAAATAACAGGTGCCCACTCCCTTTAGCGCTCCTGCTGGACAACTTCTCTGAGCAAGCGTAAGCCATCTTTCCCCTATCATAGGCATCTCTACAGGGCACATCGACACAAGGCCAGAGCTAACATCCGCCATTTCATGTTGGGTAATTCCCTTGATATGAAACCTGGATGCACAGAGCACACCTGGCAACTCTCCTTTGAAATCAAGCATTCAAACCTACGTTATCCATATAGTAAACACCTGCATTTTAGTGCTTCCAAAAGGGCCTTCTCACTACCACGCCACGTTTGCTAGTGTCAGTTTACACCAAATCTATTCCTATCCTAATTGCAATAAGCCATAAGGCTGGATCACATCTTTGTGATAGAAGAAAGTCCTATGTGTTTCTGTACTTTGAAAACAACCAAATCTGAGACAGCTAATAGCTTTTTTTACTTTCATTTGAGAGATGTCTTTTTTTTTTTTTTTTGGCAACACAACTGCAAACACACATTATCATAGAATCACATAATATCCAAGTTGGAAAGAACTCACATGGATCATCGAGTCCAACTCCTGGGTCCCCAAAGGACCACCCAAAAAATCAGACCATGTGTCTGAGAGTGTTGTCCAAATGCTTCTTGAACTACGGGATTAAGAAATCTTTAGCTCAGTCAGTGAAGAATTTAGAGTTGCATTAATTTTTTTAGATGGTAGTAAGGTAGTTTTGTTAAAGAAAGCCTAAGATGCTTTTCCTAATAAATAAATAAAAATCTGTTTTGTTAAATCAAAGACTTAGGTGACCCTTCAGTAAGTTCACACTTGCATTTCCATAAGTGATGACTTTTGGAAGTGCCATAACTAGAATTCAGTCAAAGATAGACCAGCAATGCTATTAAAACACTAAAATAAATACCTAAAAATCATTTTTAAAGCTGATATTTAGTTACTAGCTAACTGCTAAGCAGTTACTAAAATATTTAATTATTGAACACTTATGCAGACTGCCTCAGGTCTCGTTTCCTTCTACTTTCTTGTGACACCAAAAGCCAGTACCTGGAGATAATCTCTTGTCTTTGCCACTTGCCTACAACCTTGGACACACTGGGCTGCTGATGAAGGGCAGTGGAAGCATGCAGAACTTTTGAGCCTGTGTTGCTTGCCACCACAACTGAAGCCAAGGCCCAGCTACAATCCTTTCATAACAAGAAGCTTTCTTGAGGCCAGGATAAAAGGGTGTACACTCATCCACATCAGTTTAAGTCAATATTTAAGTCAATGTTAGAGTCAATATTATCAATTAAAGTCAGTTTACATCAATATTGCCCAATTCAAGCAATCAACTGCTGTGACACTTGGGTTTAGTTCTTCAGTTTTTTCCATCTCCGAAGAAGATAAACCACGTGTGCCACAAGGAGGCTGTGGTAACTCATCACCACCTCCCCTTGACTTTCAAGGTATGAGACCTGAAAGCTTCACCTCTTTGTGACCACAGCAGTCATTTTACCAGATCGGAGAGACAGAGGAGGGAAAAGGGATGAAGAGCAAGGTGACTCTTGCAGTCTGCACAGCATGAGTTTTCACAAAGCTGCACTGCGCCTTTGCAGTTCTAGCAAAGCCTTTCATGCTATCAGACCTTCGCTTAATGTTACAGCTTTGCTGATCCTCATTGGCAGGGAAAAACTAGCCTTTGGGCAGAAACAAGTCATTTATAGTCATTTCAAGAGCTTTTAAATTTCTTTGGAACTGAAGAGTGGCCACCAAAAGCCTCTAAGCCCATACCCTGTCTTCAGCAAGAGCTGAGCCTGTGAGCGCCATAGAAAGGACATAGTAAGCGTAAACCTGGGCCACACACATAGCACCAACATCATAGAAAGAAGGCTTATGGACAAGAGGGTGGATGGCTGCCCCAGAAAACTGACATCCAGACAACCTTGAAAAGTGATAGAAGACGATACGGGAAGCCTGTCTCTACAGTCTTATCATCATTGCTGCACTTCCTGCACTGCTGTTGTTAATCAATACTATTCACAACAGTTGGAGGAAAAAACCCAGACTTGTCAGGACTTGACCTTAAGAAGACATGACTGAAGACAGGGCAGATGCATGCAGGAACCATGTAACTGGATGGCTGGAAATTTCTAGAACAAGTTCAGCTTTAAGCTACGCTGTCTCTACCACACCAGGGACTCTACATGCCAGAATAGCTCCACGAAGAAGTAGGTGCTATTCAGCCCAGCCAACCCTTGTCTGTTGCAATTCCTAAGTCTTTTTGTTCTTGAAAACATAGCATTGACATGTGCTTGACATTGTGCCACCACACAAATACTCATTTTGAAACTGGTTATACAGTAGTGGCAGAAGCTGACTGCTGAAGTGACCTACTGCTCCCATCCTTAGCAGTTCCTCAGAGAATGGGGAATTCCTCACAGCAGGACACCAAACCTCCTCCATGGTTTGGGCAAGGAGTGTGATGCATCCACAGAAGATGCTCTGAGTACTCACCATCTCCTCTTTCAGTGAGGGAAGGGTGGCAGCTGCCAGACTCTCCCACCCTTAGGGAGAAATGGGAGTTTCTTTCTCGTCTTCCCCCTCAACAAAAATAAAACATTTTAATGTACACTGAAAAGAGTAAAAAGGGTGGCTTCTATCATGTCAAATTCTGTTTTGCAGCCCTGACTTTGTGATGAAAGGAGGCTGCCACAATGTCAACGTAAGGGTCGGGAAGGGAGGAACCAGAGCTGGGGTAGATGAACATGCAAAGAGACAAAGTCAACTTCTTACGTTTGACCCTATTGAATCCTCTTTAATTCAGCTTTAGAGCTGTGAGCTGATCTTGGCTTTCCAAAACCAGGCAACATGTCATTGAAAAAATTTAATAAGGTATTATTGGCATTCTCATTACTCAAAAAAAAAAAAAAAAGAAAAAAAAAAGAAGTGACAGTAAAGAGGATATTAGTATCGATATAAATAAAACCTGCAGATGAAACAGATGGACATAAAGACTGAATGATTATTCCAGAGATTACATGCTATAGCAAGATCAGACACTACAATGGAGATTCCCCAGCAAAGACAGTTTTTTTCCTTACCTTTTCTACAGATGCTGTGTTGTAGCTACAGGTCTCTGGGAGCAGATCTCTCTTCTCCTGACTCAGACTTGTTGAGAAAGAATGACTTCGTTGAGGCTGCAGTTTCTCATGAGCTGGTTCTACAGGGTCAAGCTCTACGTCGCTCCAGGTCTAATTACAGATGGTGAAGGATTTCAGACATTACATCCTTTTTCAAATTCTAAAAGTTCTCAAACTCAAGCAGAAATCTTGCACACTTAAAAGAAACTAAAGCTGTTCTAACCTAGGTCTCACATTCAAAGTTCCCACAGGCAGAGACTTGCTTTTTGATCTTGTCATTTATCCTTATTTTTGTATTTTTATTTTTTATTTCTCTATTTTTATATTTTTGAAAATATATATATTTTTTAAACCACAAAGTTATTCACTCTTTTTTATCTGGTTGCTTGTGTTATGCTTATAGTTGCTTAGTACCTGATGTCTAAAGATGCGATCCCATTATCTAAGCAAGTGCAACCAAAAACTATGTTTAACATGCACCGTGGCATTCTGCATGACCATAATTGGTCCAAAACCACGAACAGGCACAGGTTCAAAACCACATTTGTATACGTCTCAGTTAGATGTGCAGACCACCCAGGACTTCACAAGCCCCACAGGCTCGGTTCTGCTCTGAACCACCATCACTGGACGAGAGGCAATGGGTGGGGTCTGCATCAATCTTCCAAGAACGTGCCAGCAAGGAGCACAACCATGACACTGCAGCCATGCCATTCCATTTACAGGCTTGGCAGAGGCCATCAATCATGCCTAACTGTGTGGAGATTTTTTGATCGAGTTTCTGTGGTATCATTCCACTACCTTACACAACAGCTTTTAGATAGGGATAGACAGATGGGGCTCCACACAAGTGGGAAGCTAATGCACAATTTCACTGCATCACCTTGCTCGTGCATTTAGGTATTGCTAGCCGTTTTTTTCTCCTCCTTCACTTAATCAAACTAAATATAACTTCATATGACTCAAATATGTTGGCTCTCTGTACTGACATGTACACAGCACACCGGAAAGTGCTGCTGGGAACAGCTGCTGCTTTTACAGTATTGCTAGTGTCATTCCTGCCCATCAATACGTTATTGGAGCATTCCAAAATTTCACTCTGTGCTGCTGTCATGTGCAAGTCATTGAGCTGAGCTTTTATTTCAGCAGCTGTTCTTTCAGCTGAAAGCCATACAGCTGCACTGAGCTGTCAGTTGCCTTGAGAACAATTACTTTTGGCTGTGTCAGCTCGGCACAGCACGGCGCTGCGCATCGCTAACAGCAGTTGTTTCATTTGAGACCTGTAAGCAAAAGTTGTGCCAAGGGCTGAAGCCTCTTATCCACGCTATCCCACCTCTTTAAACACCAGCACCAGCCAAACACACACAATAACCTGCTAACCCCAATGGACCAAAACCAAGTAGTGAACAACTGTGAAGGACAGATCAGGATGTATGATCCAGCAGATATTACTGCATTTGACGTCAAATAAAGGATTAATGGGGAGAGAAGTTAGGAACAGACTTCAAGTCAAGGAAAATTAATAGGCAAAGGGTAGAAAAAAAAAAAGTGAGGATCCTCCCTTTTTTAAACTATACTAGCACTTTTCCATGGTGCTACACATGCTATCTACAGCGCGCAATTCAAGCACAAGTCTAAACAGACAAGTGGTCCCCATGATCTCAGGGTGGCTCACATGGGTGGACTGTTTGCTCAGGCTGTTAAACAATCCCATACCAAATACACTCTTTCTAGACTACTGGCACATTGGTAAAGTAACCTGTCCTTTGTAATAGGGTGGATTCTTTTTATTAGGGCCAGGCAGTAAGTCTTCCCCCTCAGGCGAATTAAAGTGTGTGGGTTTTTTTTTTGTTTGTTTGTTTGGTTGGTTGGTTTTTAATTTTTATTCTTCTCTTTGATTTAATCACCATAAGGTCTGAATTTCTTCTCAGCACCATGGACATTCTGCTTACATTGCCTGGTATTGCTTGGTTTCCCAGTGAATGGTGTGCTTTTTGCTCAGGTGTGTTGGCTTTACTGTCTGTCTCCCATGAAAAAGTTCAAAAATATCTCTGATGTTGTTATCTGAAAGGAGCAACTTTGAGTCTCAAGGAAAAATTCAGTGCTACATTTCCTTTTTTTTTTTAAATCCATTAACATCTAAAAAAAAAAAAAGTTGTATAGCTACTAATGAACCAGAGAGAATGTTGGATATGGATAATTGTCAAAGTCCAGTACTTATCTATCACCCAAACAGTAAAACAGTAACAGTATTGATCTGCTCTGCACAGTATCTCATTCAAGATGGGTGTACTGTTCATGCTGTTTTCCCTTGTGGTCCTAGGTTCATTTCCAACTCAAGGACCCCTGTCTTCCCCAAATCACTCGTGATTTCACTGAAGCGTATCTGCACGGTCTGACTCTCAGTGACAGCCCCCTGGAAGCAGCAGCTTGCAGGGTGCAGCACGCAAAGAGTCACTTCCTCCTCACTCAGAGCACTGGCACCTGGCTGAAGAGGAGAGCCAAGAGCTCACCGCTCAACCTCTCACGGCGATTTATACCTCTATGGAAGGTTACGGATTGTAGCTGCCACTCTGGGCACTTTCTGTGCCAGGGCTGCCACCCAGCAGTGCAGGTCCCTGTGTTCCCAGCGCCTTCGTGTGCAAGGCCAGCTGCTTGCGACACAGAGGGGCAGGTGAGGTCATGCCAAGAAGGGCTGTGAGGAGCCCCGGGAGACCTTTTTTTTCTTAGCTCCTCCAACCCTCCTGCTATGAGACCTGCTTCCCATTTAATTCTGCTTGGTTGGAAAAGAGAGACAGGGCTCATGCTGCCATATTTTTTTTTTCCCCAAAATGTAACCTAAGTGACATGTTATACATGCTGAATTCCTAAGACATGAGTTTTTCCTTCAAAAAGACTCCACACCATTGGCAACTATACTCCAGCCCGACCACTATCCTTACTGAGACTTAGGGTACAATGCTTACAGAACACCACACCGCACATCGAGTGCAGGAGCCTTTCACTTCTCTGGGTTAAAAAACAGATAAATAAATGAACAAGTTTTCTTGAACTTTCTTTAAAGTAGACAGGATAGGTTAGAATACGTTATATGGGAGATGGTCCTGTCCTCCTATCTCCCTCAGCTACTGAATGATGGATGAGACAAATGGTTGGTAACATGGGGGGTGCCTGACAATGACACTAAATTCATATTAAAGACTTAACCTAAACAACCATGCTTCCTGTAAGCATCTGAATCAACCAGATATGCTAGTCCCAATATTTTTTCTGATCAAAAATCAGCATGGTTGAATTCACACAAAGGCTTTGGAGAAATGACCTCACATGACCAAAAACCTTTAGCTGAGAACAAACTCTTTTCCATTCTCTAATTTTGCGTATGTATTTTTAGTAACTTATGCTTGGAGTTGTAGAAACATTATACGCACTTTCCTTGGTGGAAACAAGAAAAGACTTACAGCTTCTCCAGTGGAAACTGATGAAACACAAGTGCTCTTGGTCTTGCCAGCAAGAGACTGATGGCTGGAGAGAGAGGTTCTGAATGATGATTCAGTTATGGAGCCCCTCAGGAGGTCATTCTTTGATATTCGTATCAGGAACCGCAAGCACGGAACAGCATTGTGGATGGTTTTTCTGAAGGAAAATAGTAGAAGAAAAAGACAAATTACTTAATGACACACTGACGATGCAGCTTTGAAAATGGTGTGGTGACAGCACTGTCTCTTTCCATAATCTCAGCATGGTTTTTGTTTTTGATTGACTTAAAGACCACATGGAAAGAGCATGGTATAGCTAGTGGAAAGTACTCAACTGAAAGGCCAAAAGGAAAATAACAGGTGGCTTCAGAGCCTTGGCTCAAAACACCCATGGAAGAGCTGCATGGATGAGTAGCAAGAACTGAAAATAGCTTGAAAAACATGATTGCTTCCAGTTATAAGGTTAACCCAGAAGACTTTCAGGTTAGCTACTATGAAGGTCTCTGTGCTAAGACAGAGGAGGAGTGGACCAGAAAAATCAGATATTGCTATTTATTTGTATCATAGTAACTCCCACAACTTCTGTCAGGAATTAGCATCCTCTTCTGCTCTTCACTGGAAAAACAGAGAATGATCTAGGTCTGAAAGAACTTGAAACTTGCCTTAGTCATTAAAGTAAAACATCAGTAATGGTTAAACGGCTCTATTCCTCCCAGGCCTGCATGGAGCAGAGAGCCCAAGAGCCTTCCTTGGGCAATGCCAGCTGGCCTTGCTCCGCACTGCTGCCAAGGACTGGCAGGGTGATGCTAACCAGAGCACTGCATTTCACAGAGTCATTATGGTTGGGGAAGATCTCTAAGATCATCTGGGCCAATCATCCCCCTACCACCAATCTCACCCACTAAACCATGTCCCTAACCACCACGTCCAGCCATTGCTTAAACACCTCCTGGGATGAGGACTCCAACATCTCCCTAGGCAACCCCTTCCAATAACTGACTGCTCTTTCTGAGAAGAAATGTCTCCATTTCCAATCTAAACCTCCCCTGGTGCAACTTGAGGACGTTTCCTCTAGTCCTATCAATAGTTATCTGTGAGAAGAGGCCCAAGCCCAGCTTCTAACACCTTCCTTTCAGGTAGTTGCAGGGAGCAACGAGGTCTCCCCCGAGCCTCCTCTTCTCCAGAACAAACAACCCAAGCTCCCTCAGCTGCTCCTCACAGGACTTGTGTTCCAGGCCCTTCACCAGATTCATAGCCCTGCTCTGGACACGCTCCAGGGCCTCGATGTCCTTCTTGTAGCGAGGGGCCCAAAGCTGAACACAGTGCTCGAGGTGTAGCCTCACCAGAGACAAGTACAGGGGGACGATCACCTCCCTGCTCCTGCTGGCTGCACCATTCCTGACACAAGCCAGGATGCCGCTGGCCTTCTTGGCCACCTGGGCACACTGCTGGCTCATGTTCAGGAGAGCATCGACTAGCACCCCCAGATCCTGTCCCTCTGCACAGCTTTTCAGCCACTCTGCCCCAGGCCTGTAGCGCTATATGGGGTTGTTGTGGCCAAAGTGCAGGACCCAGCACTTAGCCATGTTGAACCTCCGTCAGCCGTCATGCCATCGGCCTCTGCCCATGAAACTTTCTTCCCTCACAGAACAGCATTTCATGAAATTAAGGTTTACATGCTTTTACTTACTTTAACATATTTGTTAGTTCCAGTGATGTTCCAGATGTTTTTTGTTTGTTTTTACTGGTAGGAATTGGTGGGTGGAGGTTTATATAACAACCTCTAAGAACCTCTCATTTCTCAAAAGCCAAGTGCTAACACAGAGATCCACATTGCATTTTCAGTTATATTCATTGCAGCATACTTTTTTTTTGTTGTTGTTGTAAAGAAATCCCACAAAAGGGATCATTTGATTTCATTTGATTTGTCGAGATATTAAGATGCAGCAACAGCAATTCTCTGTTCAAAATAGCAGCCTGCTTTGGTAGCATTACACTGTCATTTTTATCAGTACCTGAATTCTTTAGATCCTGATATCTATGTGCTGTTTTCAAGTAAGATTTCAAAAGAAGTCAGATTTAACACAGTTCAGTAGTTCCAATGCAAAACTGCAATTTACTACTACCCCTGCCAAACCCCTGACTCTTGGGCCTGAACAGACTAGTCCATTAAGGATATTATCGGATAAATTACTTTAAAGGCATAATGTGAAAGATTAGAAGATTCAGAAACTATCCAGAAATGTTGATCTTTACATACATACTCATTACTCACTATTAAAGCAAAATTGCTCCTGCCAACATATTTTCACCAGCTGACTTGTTGGCAAACTGTAGCTGCTTTTTCAGTTTTAAAGCTGCATGCTTGTTTCACCACAAGGGACACAACATTACTCCTTTTCCTGACTGGATGAATCCCAAGTCTATAAAATATCTTCACAACAACTGCATAAACACTTCTGTTGTTGATATGTCTTGAAATACAAATTAAGAAGCAGAGAAAAAAAAATTAAGAGAGTCTCTGAAATCCTGTTCTGTAATGAGCCTTTTTTCTTAATACAGCCTTACGTGGAAAAGCCAATGCTGGTAGGAAAAGAGTAATTGAAGCAGTACACTCTATGCTATCTGCTTTGAAAATACACTTGTAAAAACAATATAAGGAATTACTGAACACAACAGCTGTGATTCAGAAAAACAATACCAGGTTCAAAATGTGTCAGACATCCACACACATCTTCTCATTAAACTCATGCAAGCCATGGGAGAGCAGTCATTCTCCATTCTAAACTAAAATACTCTTTAACCTTCAAAAACTAAAATGGACTCAGGTCTTTTGGAGGATGCAAAAGTCTTAGTTATGGTAGCAGATATTGTCATACAAGATAAGTGTTGTCACCATTTCTGGGTATATTTCCTCTAGCCTTCTAAAAAGCTTTAAGGTTAGTTTGTTTGTTTACAACCACGCCTTCATTCATCAGATATTCACAACAATTAGCTCTCTATGTTCCAGCTCCAAACTCACCGTTTCGGGCAATATAACAGCAAATTTTCCACTTCAAGGAGCTCAACAGACCTTGTGCAGACGACAACCCTGCCATCTAGTGGCAATTCTACATTTATCTCCATGGCATCCCTGTCTTTCCTCCAAAGATTTATCACATCCCTGAACCTTTGCTGGATTTTTGGAAAGCATTTTAGAAGCTGTAATAGGTGTGACTGACTGCCAGTTTTTGAACATGTTTCTCAGCTGGAGCTGGGAGAGCATTTATAAATAAAAATGTTGCTTTCAGAAACGGTCAGTGTCTGGGATGCACTGAGTAAGTTTGTCTTTGTTTGAAACCATTCAGCAGAGCACTATGCTGTCTCATTCTCTTGCAAAAGAATTTTATAAATCCTTTTAGGACCACACAACTGAAGAGCCAATAATTTTGATGTGCCCATACTACACATCTCCAGGTCCTAGATAGGCCAAAGAGCAGTGTTTCAGTCTTTTATACAGTGAGGACACAAATGGGCGACCTTTCTGCAGTGCAAGGTGGTTACTTCTCACACTTTTCCTAAACACTGGAGAAGACTGGTCTCTTAGACACCCACTGGGATGTTTGAGAGCTGTAAAGAAGTTATTAATGGAGATTATAATGAACCTTCTTCTGAGAAGGGAAAGGTGTCTGATTCACTGGACATGTCTTTTATGGGGTATTACCTTATCATTCTATTCACTTATTCTTATAGGTTTCCCATCAATTCGACAACATACAGATATTTTTTGTACAACTCACTGTTACCTCACCTCAGTGGGAACAAACTGCAGTCAAAGGACTGGGATAAAAAGCATAATTCATACCTTTAGGCTCAGAAACTGATTCACTGTCTGGGAGAGAGTTAAGAAAGAACTAAAAAGGAAAGAACAGTTAGCTAACAATTCAGCTGGTTGAGACTGAACAGTGTTTGGGTATTTGTAAGTGATGTTGTGCTGGGCTAGCACAGTTGTCTGTGTTAAAACATACAGTAATTGATATCTGTAAAAATATGTACATTTTGCCCACTCAACCATATTAGTGTATTATGAAACATTATATATATACATATATATAAATAAAAGTCAATGCTAATATTTTTGGTAAAGGCAAAGAATAGAAAGGCTCTCCAAAAGTTCATCTGACACAACAAAATAAATGTGAAAACTGAGCTCTTGGAATAGACTTCTTTCCACAAAGGAGAGTATTTCAGAAATGTTTGCTTTACTTTTTGAAGACAAATACTTACTGACCAAAGTCAGAAAGCCTGCTAACCAAAAGGCAGTATATTCAGGATATTTGAATATATCCTTTTCATTTCCAGGGATCGCCACCTGCATTATCAGCTTCTTAGAGCACCCACTTGGCACAGAATATCTATGAAGATACTATTTGCTTCCTACAGAGTTTTTCCCCAAATCAACTAGTACTGAAGCTTCAGAGAACCAAGTTTTGAACATTTGCATCAACGTGATGATATGATTTACAGGCCACACTGGTTGTGACCCATTATCTGTGGAGTGCTCTTTAGCTGATATGGCAAGAGATGACCCTGAGCACCATCATGTCCTCCCATTAGCTGTGGTGACATGCAGCACCATCAGAGCAGAGATGTGAGGGGAAAGAAAAGTGAAGGGAGGAAGTGATACCCTCTGCAGGCAACTCTTGAGGCCACATGTAGAGCTCCACATGCAGTTCAGTCCCCCCGTACCAGATGGACACGGGGCAGGGTCTGACCACCAGCATCCATGGGTTGGAGCATGCACTGCACAGGGCAAGATTGAAGGAATGGGGGTTGTCTGTTGATTTTAAAAAACACCTTTGCATGTAGAGTTGTACACATACCTATATGCTTACTGTACCTGTATCTGGGGTGAATTATTGCGTATATGATGGGGTTGTAGATTGCAGAAGCTTTGGCAATAACAGCTGGCACAGATTTGGAATACGGAGTTAGTGTGTTGCCTCGGCTAAAACAAAGGAAAAATCATTACAGGGAGCTATGCCATGGATTAATACTAATTTACCGAAACATATCACTCTTTTTGACTGCTTTTGTTTTGCCGTCTTGTGGTAAGAAATACTGCTGAAAACTTAATTTTTCAAACTCATTCTTTGCTCAGAAGAAGGGCTTGCTTTTCATCTGAGCATGACAGTGTATACTTGATTTCATTTACTTGGAAGAGGTGAAAGACGTGCAAGTAATCAGTTATCTATTCAGGGATAACCACATGACTGACTGTGGAAGCTTAAAGTCTAAAACGGGACTATTCATCCCACTACTTTGAGTTTTCTCTTCCTTCTGTAGCATTTACAGCTGGGTCACTGACACCCATTACTGTGCAGTATGGATGCTTTTGCTAGAAGATTTTAATTTTTATTCTGGCTTATTTCTTATTGCCAAACTTTTTTCCCAGATAGTCACAATCTAATTCTTTATTTTTTAAAAATATATGTTTTTGGATACCCTACAAACATAAACAGTGATTCTTTGTCACATGTGATCAACACAAGTGCAGGATAATTACAACTAATGTCGGAGGAATAGAGCATGCACTGACAAGACAATACATCCCCTTGGAGGGGAGAATGGGTGAAGGAAGGCAGAAGCTCACAAGTGAATGTTTGGGCATATAGCCTCTTTTCTGCCCTTTGCCAGAGGAAGCAACAGAGGAAGTTTATTGAGAGAAGTATTAGGCGAGAAAAGAGGTAACTCCTCCGTGAAACCAGACTTCATGCAAGAAAAGTATCATGGAGGAGAGAAAATAATGCGTACCAAAAATAACAGATAAAGCATTATAATTAAAAATGTGCACAAAAACTAGACAAGTAACCCCTTTGCTGAATTTATGCACAAGGATATAATGGTGGTACAATGACAGTGGTTGCACTAAGGGACATAGTTTAGTGATGGAACTTAGTAGGTCAAGTTGATGGGTGGTCTTGATGATCTTTAAGATCTTTTCCAACCTAGATTATTCTGTGATTCAGTAAAGGGCACACAATCACCTCTAATTAATAACTACCTAAAGCCTTTCCAAAAAAAAAAAAAAAAAAAAGATAATCATATAAACATTTTGGAATAAGTGCTTTTTTGAATGATGCTTCCACTTACCCTGCCCAGGCAATCAAAGTGACACAAGCATACGGAGACCAGGACAAGACATACACAATGATGACCACAAAAGCAATTTTGGCCAATTTCCATTCATTCTTCATGGACTGAGAGAGGTAGGATTTCCGGCTGCAGGATCCTAGCTTTTGAACATCTCTGTAAGGAAAAACAAAACAAAACAAAACAGATACATCAGCACCATCCTATGAAGAAGCTAGGTGCAATGTCTCTAATGCATTCTCTAATTCTCTAATGCATTTTGCATGTGTGCAAAAATGAAGCAGATTTCATCTTTACTGCTCTCACTCTTCTTTGGTCCTCTGATAGTTAAAAATCTAAAACATAATTAATGTATTGTGGTCCTAGGCATTTTGTTTGGGCTCAGTCTGCCTGTGGGATTGAGATAGAGAAACCATTGAGACTATAGAATGGGGCTGACATGTCCTTACCCTGACACACTGATATTCCCTGCCCCTCGTTGCTCTCAGAGGTAAAGCAAGGAAAAGCACAGTTGGATGCAAAAATGAAATCTGATGACTTTTCATTTTCAAGGGAGAAAGTCCAGTTTACTGAGTAACGTGCTGAAATAGCCTCACTACTCTGAGGAATACAGCCCAAAACGCTTAGGGGGACATTTTTACTTCCCTGCAGGTTTACTCACTAACATTTTTGTCAAAATATTTTTGACAAGTATTTTTGCCAAAAAACCTCATGTCGATTCCTCTTCACAAATCAGAAAAACACCCTACGCTTTAATTAAAAAAAAAAAAATATATATATATATATATATATATATATATACACACACAGATAATGTAATTTTATATCATTTATCATAGGAACAACTTTTACATACCAGTGTTGTTAAAGGAAGACCTATTTCAAGTTGAAGACAGTAATTATCAGAAGCAAGCAGCAGGAAGGGCTCACAACCTCAGACAGTGTTGGATCAGACAACAGACAAGTAATATTCTCATTAGCTGACAAAATGAAATTCCTTTACAGATCTAGCACCCTCCTAAATTTTTACTTCAACCCTACAAATATAAACCAAGGCTTTTGGAGGAAAAAAAAAAGTCCTAACAAATGTAGCCAAATTTTGTGTGTGTGGCTGTATATCTGCTTTAGTGGTGCACAGGGTTTTCTGGGATGCCTGTCTTAAATAAAGCTGTCAAAAATCTGAGGACTGTTACACTTATAGAGCAGCTCACAGGCAGGTGATGCTCCCATTGCTACATACTATTTAGGATGACCCTTGGGGCTGACAACCATACTGGAGTGCACAGGAACCATGTTCCTTTTATTGCAAATCTGAAATACAAAACATCAAAACTATCAAAAACTATCAAATTATCTGAAGTACTACTAATTACCACACTCTGGGCTAAGACTAGAACTACCTGAGACTACTTTGTTCTCTACTCCAAAATGCATATCCTTTCCATTTTTCACATTGGCAAAAATATTTCTTCTGCTGCAGCTGCTAATTATCTGCCACTTTATCACCAATTTCAATTCAGATTAATTTTAGATTCAGATTTAACTGCATCCTAATTTGAGAAAAGCTTCAAATACAAGAAAGAAGGAGTTTTACATATTTGAACTTACCTGCCGGTACTTCTTATGGCCAGGAACATAAATAAGTAGCAATGGAATATTATTATTAAGGGAATAAAAAATACGCAGCAGCATAAAATCATGGTGTAACTTCTGTTTGCAGGGGAGTAGGTTACATAGTCCCATGTACAGGAAATCATCAAGCCCTCAGGCACATAGGAACCTATGAAATACAAGGAATAGGTTATTTGCACATATGCCCAAAGTTTGTTTAGTCACCAATCCAACAACTGAGTGATGCCATGCTGTACAGATAAAGCTATGTTGGTTGTATTATAATGCGTGATCTGAGAATGCAAGCGTACACATGGAGAAATGGTCCTGACTGCCAAACTCTCGGGTATACCTAAATCATGGTCTGCAGCTTGATCTTGAACATAGCCCAGGGCAAAACAAAAACAAATGAAAAACCAGGGCATGGCACTGCAATAAATGTAGGTATTATGTTATGACAGCAAACCACAAGGCAGTATCTATGCATCCATTCATGACCTTTTCTGAAATCTTATTTTTTAATATCCTGAGCAAGGCAAAACAGACCATGCACGAAACACTAGAAGAGAGAGCAAATGACATACTCCACCCGAAGAGTGGGGCCACGCTCCACCCCAGTGAGTACAACCACACAGCAGCAATGATCTGCATGGTGCGCTTCTTTGAGGTCCACTGGATGGATCGCAGGGGCTTGGTGATCACCAGGTAGCGGTCAACAGAAATAGCTAACAGGGTCATCATCGAGGTTATTCCAAAGAGCGCTCCACAGAAAGCATACAAGTCACAACCTGAAGCACAAAATGGCAATGACTTTTATTTTCCTCTTCTTAAACAGATATTTGTTTTCTCTCACAGTCTGACATGACAAATTTACTTTTTTTTTTTTTTTTGGGGGGGGGGGGTGGCGTTTAACTTGGCTCAGAGATTCTCTCCCATTAAAAGAGTTTTCTTAGCCTCACAACTGCATAATTATTAAGTGTTCATTAGGAAAAACACAGATGTTAATAAAATACAAATGTACATGTTAACAAGTTCTACTCTCCACCGTGGGCTGTAGCTGGGAACCTTTTGTCAATGGAAAACTGCCTCAAAGAAAATCCAATCTAATTAATGTTACTTTTTCCTGGACTGTTGCCCAATACATCGATCTTAACAGACTGCAGCAGATATCTGTCTGCTAATGACAAATGGATGTCTCAGAAAATGACTTTGGTTTATATGGCATCAAAATGTAGGAGCAGTTTAAATTTGATGGCTAAAAGACTAGCTGTAAAACATAGCTCCAGCTCCTATTAAATACAGCACTTAATAAAATATATTTTATATATTTTTATTTATATATTTATTTTATATATATATATATATTTTTTTTTTTTTTTTTAAACTGAAACAGATTTTTCCCCCCTCTTTGCACTCAGGCATTGGACTAGCAGATGAAAAGTTGTGGAGTTACACTCTACCAAACCTGATTCAGAAACCTGTGTTAAATGATCCCCTGAGATCTAGTGTCACCCTATGTGGTTACAGACAGTAGACTATGAGGAGTGGGAGACAGTTGCAATACCAAATTCAATCTTAAAGCAGATTTTTAAAGTAATCCCCAATTAAGGACCAAATCCCACTCAACCTAAATCAATAGTTTAATTTGTGGCAGTGTAATAATTTATACTAAGTAAATAAGATGTGGTCTACTTTTACCTAATGGCATAAGCAAGACTGAAAATATCTTTAAATTTGCAGAATTTCCTCTTCAGCTGATTATTGTTATTTAAATCTTTTAATTAAGTGTCAGAATCCTAGGGAGAATGTTAGTAGATATCAACATATATTTCTAAATGTTTATCCATTCTTAAACTAATACAGGAAAAATATTTATGACTTAATAAGGTTTTTCTACCCATCTTTAGCCATGGCATCTGCCCTTACAATGTAAAGAATCACTTGATTTACATGTTGTTGTTGACTACTTTCTTTCCAAAATAAAGATGACACAAAATGTGATTGTTCCACATGATGGCACATGTCAAGAACCTGGGTTGTCACTTCAGAGTCTTGTTCAGTTCTTTCCACTGCACAAGCCTAGACTGTTAGGGCTAAAACAGGTTGCAGGCAGTGTGGAGCTGCTGAGGGATGAATTAGTGTTGAGAAGTACCTATATCTCCAAGGATCCACCCTCTGTGCAAGCTGTTGACAAAGCACATTGGTGCCTGAGAAGCCGACATCAGGAAGTCGCTCACAGCCAAATTCATTATAAAGTAGTTTTGGGGCGTCCTCAGCTTCTTGTTGCTTAAAAACAGATTAGAAACACGTGATTTTAAATAGACTAAATGAACAATCAGTAAGTTCATAGCTTTACTTACTAGCATAAACAGACACTCTCCAGGTGGAATGGGTGGTTGTTTGCCACCATCAATTGCCAACCACCTGTCAGTTACTACAACTATAGACACAGTCATTTCAAAATGGTGACTGAGAAATGCAGGGGTGATAAACTGAATCCTTTCCTCAACCAGCAGAAGAGAATTCCACCTATTTTGAAAAACATGGCTTTGTTCAGGGAAGAGCAGTCTGCCTCTTTCCTAGAGTCCCTGTAAGAGCACCAACACCAAATGTGTGCTGCACAGTGCAAACCCAGGCTGTGACACAGGTTAAAGAGCAGAAGAACCTGCTTTTGGTAATCTGGAGTTACAACCTTTTAGGAATCCGTCAGCTGGTATTCAAGATTACCCTTGTCTCTGGCTAAGAGGAGTAAAGATAGTGGAAATGGAATAAATTACCTCTCTCTTACTTTGGGTTATGTGGTTGAATATTCCCTTATTTTTCTTACCAAATATTAGTTCCACAAGGTACATTAATTTTGAGTTCACCACACCTTTACCTTACAGTTGGCAATTCTGATGAATATACTGAGAAGGTGTAATATTGAACTGCTAGTCCCTCAAAGTGAAACTGTTTTCCTTGCATGGAGAAGTAAAAGCCATGATACCTAGAGTTTGAACTCAGGACTTTTCACAGTGCCAGGCACAAAAAGAGGCATCTTTGCACATTCTGTTGAGTGTAGGAAGCAAAGAGGATTTCATACATAGCTTTATTCTTGGAAACTGCATGCAGCAATTCTCAATAGCTTGAAATGAATCTTCTTTTCTCTGAATGTCTTCTTCAGCCTATCAATTGAGGCCTCTCATGTGCTTCTGAAATACCAATATTTGCAACTAGCAGGAATTCCTTTCCTCTTATTAATAAAAGAATACTGAGAAATTAAGATAGTTGCAGAAGTGTTGAGATGACTAATAAAGTCACGGCTTTCATAACTCTGCAACAACTGGGTGAGAGGGGTGCAGAACTCACATCTTTGCAGGTGTTCATCTGCCTATGGAGATTTTTCTACTTTGACAACTTAATGCTTTCATTTTGCCAGCTAAAACAAACAAATTTCAAGAAAAATTGAGAGCTTATGCTGCAAAAATCATGAAATGATCTACAGCTGCAAGAAATTCAGTTTTCTCCCTCATATAAGACCCAGTTATTCAAATCAACCATACATGGTTTTTCAGCTTAAACATTTAAGAATAGTAAACTAAAGCTTGATTCATAACCCCGCTGGTGTTTCTGTCATTGTAGACCCACTCTGCATAAAAATGCATAATGACAGCAAACAGTGAGCAAGAAGGATTTGGAAATCTAGCAACACTGTGTGGGGTTGAAGGCAGCTATTTATTCTTTTCATGAGCTTTTTGTGTACTCTAGCTGCAGGACAGTCTAGGCTGGTTGGAAGAGCATCATCTTTCATTAAATAACCTGCAAACTCTGCAGGGGGAGTAAAACAACATGCAAGGTAGGGATCGCTGTTTCAAGTAGTAAAAGTATTAAACTTTTCTCTACGTTTTTCGTTAGAAGTATTACTACAACAAGGTTCTGTACATTTATTTCTTTATTTTCTTACAAACCTTAAAACATGAGTAATTTACGTGGGAGTATATCAGTGATGAGCATGGATGCATGTGGGGTGTATGTCATTGATGACATCAACCTTTGCTTGGATATTTAATCCAAGAGGAAATCAATGCAGAACATCTGCCCACAGGCACAAACAAGCTGCAAGGCAAGTCAGATTAACTGTGAAGGAAATACCTGTAAAATGCATAGAGAACCAGGAGGTTCCCTATGATGCCAATAGAGCCAATAACAAGAACACATGTTCCTACAGTGTAAAGAACGTGGTCAGGGATCTCCACCTTGGTCACAGTGTGTGGCTGGGTGGCCATGCTCAAATCCTGGATGGGAGACAGAAGAAAAGGAGAACTGAGCACATTCAAAACACGTATTCCAGGGGACACTTGCTCAGCACATCGAACTGGTAAAGGGAGGCAGAGCACTCGCTTTCAAATCAAATAAACACATCTGTGATGTTATCACACCCCCTGTAAATCAAGTATCCTTCAAGTAGCCTTCTTTGCTTTGTTTACCACCACAGAACAAAACAAAACACGCACACAAACCTACAACAGCAACAACAGGCAAAACAGACTGGAATAATCTTAAGGGAATTGTTTTGGTGCTGATGTGAAAAAAGGAAAGACAGGCTAACATAAAAAGCACTAAAGGTAACTGCTACACTTTGGGGTGCAGAACTAGCTGACACAACACAGGAATCAGTTCAAGAAGGAATAGCCCATCATACTTTAATGTTTATTGGAAGACTGATAAGGTGCCCTGAGAGGTCACAGGTTCTCCCACCTTGGAAGTGATCCTGAGCAATCTGTTCTACGTGGCCCTGTTTGAACAGATGGGTTGGACCAGATGACCTCCAGAGGTCACTTCCAAACTCAACCACACTGTGGTTTTCTGAAATCCCTCCCTCAGCCTTCACAATTACAAACATTAAAATCCCCCAAATATCCCCAAACTGCCTATGCGCTGACTTACCGTGACGTAAAAACTGGGAAACCGTCATGGGAAAGGCAGGACAGCGGAGGAAAAACACAGCAGCAATAGCAGTGCCTGTGTAAGTGCAAATACATCAAATAGCCTTGACACCTCTTTCACTGCTCTTTATCAACAGCGCATGAAGAAAAACAACCGTCTGTGTATTTTCTGAAACAAATTCAGACTTACCACTGACTGAACACAGCAGCAGGACAGCCTACAGCTAATCCACTCAGCTCTCATTAGTGTTATCAATGAGTGGAGTCCAAATTGCCAGCCTAGTGGCAATTTTTATTTACCAAGTCAGGTAAACAAGCTTCAAGATGAACAGGTTCAAGACAACAAACATTGCCCAGCTGGAGATATTGAAGGGACCATTTGGAAATGGTGAGAAATCTCTGTGGTTTCTACCTTCTAGTTCCCATGATCTCCTACACTGCTTTTTCTCCTTTCTGCCTTTTATTATTCCTCACTTACCTATGAGGCGCATGCACATCAGCTCCTTCCTTGCTCAGCAGCAGTTTTCTAGCCATGGGCATTATTGTGCTAATTGTGTACAATGCTTTCAGCAATAGGGAATGAGATGCATCGCATGTCCTGTGCATTCAGAAAACAATGGGTCTGGAGCAGAAATGGTGAGAACAAAGTCCCTGGTGCTGAAGCAGTTTCTTAAATGCTACAAAAACTACTACTTCAAAGCAGAAGGATGATTTCAGGCTTTCTCAGTGGTCTGGCAGACTCTACCAATAAAAAAAATGAATTCCTCCAAAGTGGCACTGCACCAGAAACATCACCCTTGTTGGAGCAGAAAGTAATCAAAGGAAGCATCTGCTGTTGCTAATCACAATGAGGGGCGTCGTTGACATTCCCAGTGGTTAAGCAGTATGAAAAAATGTCACCCTGTATAGCATTTATTTTAAAAATGCTGTTTAAAGTGTGGGAGTAGGGGCTGGGGGCGAGAGCAAGTAGTGTAAGAGCAAAGAATACACAGGAAGCTGGCCCAGTGGGGAAACATAATCCTGGCTGTTTGGTGGCACCAAGCACAAGTAGCTTCATGCTTTCAGAAAAGTGCTGTCTGGGCCACTTCAGGGCAAAGCATGCAAAGATCCATGATGAACTCCTCTCCTCTTCCCTCAGATCTAATCTTCTTAACAGAATACATGCATTATATCAAAACCCTGCCTGCCATACACATTATGCTTTACTTCTTCATATGGAAACTCGCTGTTGCAGAAGCTCTTCTGAGAAACCAGCTGCAATATAGTTCACACCCAGAGGTGGCTCTCCTTATCTCTCTCTCCTGAGGAGAAGCCAACTTGAATGCTTTGGCCCCATTTATTCAGCTACTAGTGGTGAGCTGTGTCAAAAGCTGAAAAATGTCACAATTTGTAAACTCAGATGACAGTTTGCTGGCAGTACTGAACAAAACATAAACTATCGATGCTTACAGACTGAAAGGCACTAAATACTGGGGATTTCACAAAGCCTGTGATCTCAGCAAGCCTCTGAAGTGAGGGCTGTTTAGATGAATACAAGCTTTGGAGAAGGTATCTTGCTTTCAGGGAAGGCCATAAAATATCGCAGCTGTTTTTGCTGCTATGTTAACAACAGTGAGAGCAACATTAAGATCTGAATGGGAAGATGACTACTTATTCACTCTGTCAGTGCTTCCTTGATAACAACAGTATGTGGCCGGAATCCAGCTGTACAAATTGTGACAAGCTGATAAAGGCAAAACCATTTATAATACTGTAATATGGATCTAAGAAGATAAATGTACTGATGCGTATGTATACATATATATATTTCTCCAACAGAAAGCCTCAACTTTTTATAATAAGTAGTTCCATTAAACTACTGGAAATTCCTTAAATAAAACAGGCAAAAATGATACAAATGGCTCCAAAGCTAATCAGATAATTTATACCTCATTTTTGTCACATATTTCACCAATTTGGCAGAATTCAACATAAGAAAAAGATAAGAATATTTAAATCTTTTTGCTTAAGGTTGAGAATTTTTCTCTACTCTGTTGAGTAAATGCTGCTTTTCTAATACAGACCCTTTCTCTGCACAGAATAACTCAATGGGAAAAAAACAACTAGTATCATCAAGGCCTTATGATATTCATAGAAGCCTTTTCTCTTTTCCTACAACCCTATCTCTGAGAAGCTGTTCTTTATGGTAATTTCAATTAACAAGCTAAATATTTGCTAATGTAAATATTTGCTATATTAGAATATGGACTAGAAACATTTTAAAAAAATGAAGCCCTGGTCACACACTGTAATGAGATGCTATTTTTGCTGGTATTCTCAAAAGCTGTTACAGCCCTATATATTTTTCCAGTACTTTTACTTTCTCCTGAATAGTAAGAATAAAATTAAACTATTAAAGAACATTCCAAACTGCTGTGACTCTTCCCAACCCTCAGAAAACCAATGTAGCCATTACAAAATTTTCCACATGACTTAGTAACCAAAACAGCAGCTAAGCACAGCAGGTCATGTTCAGCACTGTCAATGTTGCGGTCTTACCAGGTTTGGTTTATATTATTTCCTTTTAGCACCAACATGACATATGGTCAGTGTCAGCTGGTATGAATGAGCAAAACAGAAAATAATAGTTTGTATTAGTGGAAGGGTCTCACATTTTAGACTTGGCAAAGCACATATTTTGTATCCATCTCTTGCTGTTGCTTGAATACTCTGTGAGGTTTTACTTCAGGCTGTTCATTTTCATTTTATTAACAGTGACCTTAGACCCCCTGAGCACGCAGTTCGAAAACTTGCAAAAATACATTTAAAAGATGTGCTGCAAGATGCTTCCCCCAGCTTCAGCTTTTCACACTGCTGCGGTGCTGTGTGGCTGCTCTGGATTCAGCACAACTAGTCCAATGAACTATGCTTGTGGGTGCTCTGTATCATCATGGCCACATAAAAAGGGATTAAGAGCCTGTTCTGTATAAGCCAGTCAGGCTCTTTCTCCATAATAACTTGATTTAAGAGATAATAAAGTAAGACATTACATTTTGTTCAGCAAATTTATTCACTCTTTAATGGGTGAAGCTAATTTTCAAGGGCTCACATGAGATGTTTTCACCTATCCATTTTTCCCCCAGGTTGGCCTTGCCTTCTGCCTTTGTGGTCTTAAGACTACACTATAATTCCCCTGCTGAAGACGCATTCATTTCCTGAGTGCAGATTTTAAAGACACTGTCCATAATGACCTGATTATTTCACACAAAAACAGAAATGTAAACAAGCAGTCCATGAAGAATGCCAGTAATTGCACCAGGGCCAGCTTCTGGCATACTTGCCTATCCTGTGCTCACTTTTTTTGGCTCCTTCTAAATTAATCTTACAATCACTTGCATTTTGACTGTACAAGATGTTGGACCTGACAACTCGCATAAATCACAATGTGGCCATACCCTTATATGCGATGTGACTACAACATCAAAAAGCTGTCACCTACGTGGCTGTTTAGAGGGCTTTCTTGGCAGGGAAACTAACAGATCTGCAAGCAAATAGAGGATAAACAATTAACAGCTGTCCCTCAAGTAGCTGGCAAAGGAAGCAGGCACCAGACATAAAAATAAACTCAGTCTATTTCTCCCTAAATAAATATGGAAAACTTAACAGATGAGTAAAGTTCTTCTACGAGAGCTTTTGTAATTTGTTTTTTAGTGATAAAACAATGTCCAAATAATTACAGCCATCTGTTTCTGCCTCCCAGCTGGGGAGATTAATAAAGATTGTAATGCAGAAGGCAATAAATTTGGTTAAAATGGGAAGGAAAGGGCAGGTCTGATTCAATGGATAGGGGTAGGAAATAATAGATCAAATTCAGAAACACTGATGTGATTGGCATTACATGGATAAGAGTACATAAAGCCTCAGTTATGCTCTGATTTCTGTCATGGATACAAGCTCATCTTGTAGAGATGATTTACAGTAAAATGAGCTTAAGTAAGGGATTGCTTACATAGAGGATTAATGTGCACTAACAAGAGAGTGAATTAACAGCGTAGCAGCTTCTCTGTGCTCATCTGCTGCACAGACTCACAGAGCAGAACACAGTTTTACTGTACAAAACAAAACAACAACAAACTCATGTTTATGCAGGCAGAACTTGAAAATTTAAAGGAAAATACAAAACAATATTTAGGCATAATAGGATAGGAGCCATCCCCATGTCAGTCTGCACTTGGTTTTGAGGCAGTTTGTTGAACAAAAACAGCTACCAGGTAATACTTGCCAGGTCCCTTGTAATTTCACTGCGTTTCCATGTAAGGAGCTATTTCAGTACGAAGAACCACCTTGTTTGAAATGATTACAAAATCTGGGGCTTAATGTATATATTGTATGTATGAACTCTTGAATGAGCAAATAGAAGATAGTTGCTATGTAGTAACTCTACTAGAGCCAGTGATGAACAGATCCTTCATGAATATTAAATAATTATGGGAAATAATAATAATTATAACATTAATAACACTATCATATAAATAGCTTTAATTACTAGCAAATAATTTAAAAAATAACCCACAACTTTTCTTGTTCTGTTTAACTGTACTGCAACTACAACACCACAGAGTAAATAGGGATTAATTTGGCATGCAGAGTCGAATCAAACCACACACATCCACAAGTGGAAAAGTCCCACTATCCACTTATAGGAACTAAAAGTTCCTATCAGTCGCTGGGCAACACTTTTCTTCCACAATTTGTTCCAATCGGTTTACATGCCAACATCAGGAGCACTCAAACACGTTGATAGCGCACATTTGATCAAGGCAACCATTGGTTTAACAAGCTGAACTGTGAATGTGATGCATCTCATCCAAAAGTGACAAACAAGGATAGGAACTGCCAGTGCCTTGTACAACAGGACAGCTAGCAGAGGCAGTTGAGCACTAGAAATCAGACATCTGGTCCATAGCTAGGCCAGTGTTCATCCCAACTTGTAAGTTTGCACTGGCAGGTAACAAGCACATTTTTTTCACTGCTTTAAAGCAAGTACCAATAGCCAACCCTCAAGGTAACAATTTTTTTTTTTTCTCCACAGCCTAGAAGTTTCAAAGATACCAAAGGCACATTTTCTGAGAATAATTCTGTTCCAGTACAACTGTGGGTTTATAACCAAGAAAGCTATTATTAACCAGTTCTTCAGAAAATTTTCCCCTACAGAAATCTTCATTCTATTTAAACACATACAAATCTAACCTGAGAGTGCAAAACCTGAAAGAATCAAGCTCAACCATGACTTAAGCATTTCTGAAGATCAAGGAAGTAAAAGCCTATCGCCAGAGGCTGTGAACACTCAGTTGAGCTGGGTGAAGTCCATCTTCCCCTTCCCACCTCCTACAGACTTGCACGCTGGCACAGCCAGCTGCTTAATGTGAACCTTGGGACTCTCACCATATTGTCCTCTTGGACACCTTCAAAATGTTCTTGTTGCTATGCTCAAAAACACCCCAAATAACAAGAGCCCAGGGAGACAGCAGACTGAACAAATCTAATCAATGTTAGTACTGCATCAAAATTATCTGAACTATCACAGTTCAATGCATGCTTATTTGGTCCATGAGGGAATGAATGACTGCTAGCATAGGGTAAGAGCAAGGCAGTAGGTGGAAATTTCAGGATTTTTTTTTTTTTTTGAGAGTTAAAGTGTGCTGAAAAAAAAAACAGTGTTGCTAAAGTAAGATATCAGAGTTGTTCTCTAATATAAGAATGTTTGCAGTCTTCAGGGAGAAATCATTTATACACAACAGCAGTAGCATATAAATGCTGGGGGATGCTCACATGCTACTCATTTTAACATGAGCATGCAAAGAACTGTCTTTGTCAATCTACACAAGTTAGCACTGCATTTTGAAATTATAATCTCTGACAGTGGATATAACATCCTGCTCTGAGGTTTCGAAGAGCTTGAATGCATACTTCTGCATTTTATTAAAAACAAACAATTAAACAAAACAAAACCCACAGAACAAAAAAAAACAAAAAAACAAACAAACAAACAAAAAAACCACTCTTCCTTACTGTTGAAAACCCACAGTGAATCCTTCACCAGCCACCTCTGGTTTTATATATTTCCTCTAGATACCAGTAGTCTTTTCATTGCACTGATCAGCTTCTCGGGGAGGCCTGCTCAGCTGCTGCCAGGGCATCTGTGTGGGAGCTGCTCTGTGAAGTGGATCCTGCAATTTAAAGGAGATCACATGGAAACATGCTTATTTTTAAGTTTCTGAAATAAATAAATCAAATAAATAAGTAAATCAAGAACTGATATCAGCTTTTCAAAGAGTAATTTCAAAATGAAAATGGCTCCTAATAAAAGTATTAAGGCAAGAAGTTGATGACTCAGTAATAGTCTATATATTCTTTCTGATGCTACTTTTAAAAATACATATTACCAATATTTTACATCAATATGCCTGTTTGCACTGCTGCTGGATTAGCAGATACGCTCTGTATTTTTTATTCCATAACTAGGAAGCTTAATGATAGCAGTCAGAACATCTCTTCTAGCTACATTTCAGTTATTCTTTACTTGCACTTTTTACCAGCTGAGTGTAAAGAGCTGCAATTTTGCCAGAGAATCTGCTCTCTACATTTCCTGATTGTTCTGATGCAGGAAATATTGTTAACTGAAGTTCTGAAACCGCAGACATTCTTCACCAACTACGGAAATTTCCAACAAATTTTTTTGGTCATGGCAAGTAGGATGGCTGGGCAGTTTAAAGTAAACCCCCAGCATTCTAATGCCATTTGCATCACTTCTTCATCAAAGTTTGGGTATATGAAAACTGCTAAAACGGGTCTAACCAGAGGTTTAACAGCTCCCGTATCTTACAACTGACAGCATCTGGCAGCAGATGCTCAGGGAAAGAACATTGGAGATACAGCACGTGCACACTGATCTGCTAAATTCAAGCACACTTGTGATATTCTTATGAACTCTGCAGCATTTGTTTCCTGTTTGGGTCAAAGGAATACCTAATCATTATAAGCTGAGAATTATTCCCATCCAATATCTGCTTGCTTCCATTTGCTTGACAGGTTGCAGCTGGCAGAATTTTCAGTGAGATTGGTGAAACACTGAAACAGAGGCTGCACAATCTTCATCCACAAGACAATTTCAAAACATTAAAGCTATCCCTCCTTGTAGCTAGAGGTAGGACTTGACTATGACACTTCCAACCTAAAATATTCCAGCATGCCACGAATGCAACTGTGAGGTTGCAAAACATACAACTAAAAAATATGGCATTAAGGCGTAAGAAAAATTGAATATAATTTCTATTACTTAAGGACAGGTATTCCATCTCAGTAAACTGAAAGCCTTTCTATCTACCTTCGTATATTTTCACAGGAGCTGAGGACAGACAACAACAAAAAAACAAACAAACAAACAAATAAGCCTATAAAGTTTTTTCCCTAGGTGCTGTAGACCAGCTTTAATAGTTATGAAATCTGTACAGGGACCATACTCCTGGATAGGAAGACTGCAGTGCTCTGCTTCATTTGTAGCGGTTTCTCCTACTGTGTCTCTATGTCCTGCATGAAAAGACAGGTTTTTAGGCACTTCACACCTATTGATTGCACTGGTGGCTACTCTTCTCTTGTGCTGTTGAAAATACATGGTGTTTATTTGCGCTGTCAGATACCTCAGTATCACTGAAAATCTGGTTTTGTAATATTTTATAATTCATTTCCTAGTCTAAAAAATTTCCACTAGATACTCTAAATACTATGTCTACAATAGTAAACCACCACAGATAACAAAGATAACTGGGAAGAGAAGTAAATAAACAGGTGAGATATATTCAAAGCAACCCATGCAATCAGAACTTCTATCTCCACAAAGAGAGACATTCACTGCCAAATGAATGCAGATTCTGCAATCTGACAGTAGCACAACCTCCCCTAGCTCCCAAAAACATAGTAAAACAAACCCTCAACCACAATCATTGCTCTTCTAGTCACCTGGCAGGTAAATCTGTAAGTAATATAATGTCTAGATCCTCCCTTAGTAGAACCTGCCTCTTTAGCATTGCTAAGGGAACAAACTTACTTAGAAAGACCAAGTGTGATTGACAAATCTATGTAAGATTAGCAAGCTGTTACAGTACTGAAGATGTATTTCAGAGGAAGATTTAAACAGCAGTGACAAACTGATAAGAAACTGCAATATGAACATAATTAAAGAGCAATTATAGCAACACCAAAGGACTCCTGGTCCTTTATTATCTACAGTATTTTATAAAAAATACTTAAATAATTAAGTGTGCTTTGGCATGTTTGGCACAAATAGGTACGTACATTAAAAGTGACTTCTGTACCTCAAAATATCCTTAATTATCTCCTGACAGTGCTCATCTTGGAGGAAACAACATCTCACACGAACGCAAGTTCCTTTAGCTTGATCTGGAGAAACACTGGGACAACAATGTGGTAGTTTTAATGTGATCTCTCATGTTAATTACATCAAGAACTATCTTTTCCTCTGAATGACTTCCACAGACTGCTTCAAGGCCCTAAAAAAAACCAACGAAATAATTAGCACATCTATGTTGGGATGCATCATCTTACATCTACCAGATCATCTTACAGCTACCAGAAGAGAGAAGCTCAGCACAAAGCCAGCTTCCTTCTCTGATTTTAAAGGAAAGTGTCATCTTACAAAAGAAGAAGATCATAAGCCAGTTAGGTTCAACTAACCATTTTTACTACATCAAGTTGGAAAGCCATGGAAGCGCCCACTTTTTTTTTTTTATTTGGGGTGGTGTGGGACATGCCTTTTATCTCAGACAGAAACTGTTCCTTCTGAACCTTTCCTTTTTAATAAGCATATAATCAAGCTGGTGAAGTAAAATGCACAAGAAAATTTCCCAAAACAAACTAAGAAGTCTAGCAATGTATTGCTCATCCCTCATGTCACATTCAAGCCCATGCTGCACCCTTCTCAGCCCACCCAACTGCAGAAAAACAATTTATTTCTGTTTATTTCAGAAAAGTATTTTATTTCTGTTAGTTTTGCTGTGATTAAATGTTGTGATAACCACCTGATCACAACAAACACTGAGCTAATAGCAGCACTGAAAAGCAATTTCCCAGCCTTTATCATTGAATATTAAATTATTCCATTTCAAATGGACTACCCAAGGGTCTCAAAGCATTACCCAGGACACCATCACACTGCAGCCTCATGCTCTCTCTGTTGAGGAAGGACTACAAATACACAACTGGCAGTCCTCTAGCATTTGGGACAACCTGCCTTTCCTCATCAGCTACTTTAGGAATAACTGGCTGGTACTTACCTGCTCAGCATTACTAGAGTTTTCCCAAGCAACAGCATTAATGCAGGGGCTCTCTGGTGCTCTTGCCTTCACCTCTAACCTTCATCTGCTAATTCTCAGTCTTCTGTGCAATGATCTTACTGGAATGCAATAAATCAAGGGTCCTTTTATGCCAGCAAAAGGATGGTAAAGCCAACATTCTATGTTCCTAAACCATATTCACTTTCTTCTCTAGTAATAATTCCTTTATAACGGTAAAGGTTTAGCCAGCTCCATTATTTGAATATTAGCAGAAGATTCAGTAAAGAAAGCATAGCAGAACTTATCAGGTAAGTGCAATTTGCCAATCACAAGGGTCATTGAATGCAGAAGACTCAGTAGAAATTCTTTGCCCTCTTTATAATTCAAAAACAAATAAATTTCTCTCTTTCATGAGATTAAATTCTTTTTCAGGCATTGCTAGCTTATTAGGGCACAAAGAAAGCGTGCTCACTGGTAGTTCTTCCCCCATTGCTCTATCAGCTTCAGCTGTTTAAGTTGTGTGCATCACCATCCAATTAGCATGGTCTTTATTTCATCTGACCAGAAATTTCTCTGGCAGCACAGCTGTGGTAATGGCAGTCTGCAACTTTTCACATGAATCAGGCATATGTCCTCACCCAGCACTCATGTCTTCTGGTCTTCATCGTCCACTAAATTCATTTGCTTCTCACAGCTTCTCTTATATTTACATGGTAAACATCAGAAAGGTCTATCTACCTGTTTATGGAGCTTTCTATTAGGGTACATCAACATTTTGCAATAATTTTTTAGTGCACAACCATTTTGTGCAAGTCAGCCTGCCAGCCATCCCTCAGCTGCACTGCAAGTGACTTCTTCACTCTAACACAGTACTAAGTTTTTTTCTTTTTCAGGGATGAAAGAGCTTGGCCTGTATTGCAACTCCATGTTTTCTTGTTATGTTTGTGTAACTTTGAGAAACTCTTGGTTACATTGATACCAAAGGCTGAATCACCTCATTAGTAGTGTTGCTTTGTTATGCTCTTGTGGTTCAGGAATGTTGTCAGCCTCATTAGATCGCCTACAATATTATGCAAAGACATATTTGTATACTTAGCCCAGTCTGGCATTTGCAATGAATTCTGCTTGATATTCTGCTTGGCCCAGAACTGGTCAGGCAAACTATCTTTCAGCGGGCACCCTTTCCCTGTGGGCTGGCACCCCAGCACACTGGGATACCTTGTGGGGGATAATTTGCAACCTCTGAAATTCCTAAAAGCAAGGCTGGAAAACAACATCAAACCACTTCGTGCCCCTACTGAGGAATATTTGTTCATACGCATGTTTTTGCATGGCTAAGATAATGGCAAGAGAAAATAACAAAGAACATGAACTAGTTCAAGATGCAGAGCATATAATGACAGGAAACAAACTTGGGCTTCTTAGCAAACTTTAGAGATAGTTTAACTGAAAACACAACCCTCTCAGCCACCATAGTAAAGATGTTATTAAAAAAAGAAAAAATCAAATAGAAAAGAATAGCTTCAGCAGCACCAGAATATATTCAGTGCATTTAAATGATTTGATATGGAATTTTAAGTTACATGCTCATACTCCTGTTTGCTTGCCCCTTATTTATCTGTCTAGATGTCACCTACACTTCAGAGGCTCTACAGAAGCTGTCCCCAACTTCTTTATTTCTGATTTATCCCAGGACAATGACCTGTTGCAATGAGATGACATCCACAGCTTCAAAAGCTGGAGTTTCTCCCACCTCATTGCCAAACTCTTCCTTTCCGACTTCTAAAACTTGTCTGTGTGACAACTGTTGATAGAAAATGAAGCAAATATTCTTGGTAGACTTATTTGAATGCCAGGGCATGAAGTTAAGCACAGGCAAATTAACAGAGATTTAGTAGGAAATCTTTCATCTCTAATGTCAACACGTTTTATTGTAAAGCTATAAGGTCAGGGATATACAAGACAGAGGGACATAAGGACAGTGGCACATAAATTCCTCATATGTGGGTTGCTGATGCATCACAGTTTTCTGCATCATAACTAATTTTCAATGCACAAGCAAATCCTCTTTTCTTTATGAATGTTTTCAAATAATCCTCGCTAAACACAAACAACTGACAAACCTTCCTACAGCAGGCCGTTTAGGTCACTTTACATTAATCAGTTTCACAAAAGGATAACAACTCTGAAATCTGCTTTAGTATTTCATTCAGTATTTCTCTTTTCATTATAGTTTTCTGAGCATTAATGACCAGGTCACAATAAGGTTTAATCAACTAGATCTTGATGATGCAACACATCCCAGTCACCTGCTACATCCTCCCCTGCTCAGACAGTGTTTTTTCCATCAACCAATACTCCAAATCCACGCTAAAAATCTAGACACAACAATACAAAGAAATTAATTTTCCTTTGGGGAGATCTGGCTCAGCTGCACAAAAACACAATCAGAATTCATTAAATCAAAACAACTTCAATGAGATATTTTTCTTCTTTTAAAGGACAAACAATTCACTCAAAGAACTCCTTAGAAAACAAAGCAGAAGAGAGGCTCCCTTCCCTTCTCCCTGCCCAGCTCCCACTTTCTGAAGCCTTCCTCCCGGCACATACATTTTGGGTTCAGACGAAAGCATCTCCCTTCCCTCCTCCGCGTGGCTGCTCCGCACAGGACCGCCAAGCTTGCAGCTCGTCCTGCGGAGCATCCACAACCCCGGCATTTAAAAAGCCACTGGGCGACCAGCCCTCCTCTGTTCCCTGCCTGACAGCTCCGCCAGCATATCGAACTGGAGCACTGACCCCCAGCAAACCACCCATCCCATTATTCAGCCTGACCGGCCCCTCTGCAACCCTTACGAGTGCAAAAAAAAAAAAAAAAAAAAAGCAAACATTTTTTTTTCTTTTTTTTTCCCTCTTTTTATTTTTTTGCATCTCCAGGACATTCCAGCCAGCAGCTTCTGTCTCAGCCCAGCCCGATGCTCACCCCCGGGGCTCAGCATCCTCCCTCCCCGTACCTGCTCCCCACGGTCCTGGGTGGGCAGCCAGCAGCAGAGGGCGGCGTCTGAGATTTCCCTCACAGCTGCTGATGCCCGTAGCCTCTTATGCTTTCGCTGCCAGGAGCCTGGCTCTGCCTTCCCTGTGACCTCCCCCCGCTTTAGGTGGCTAGAAGCAGCAGCTGCCCCCCCCGCTCCCCCTTTCATCCCCAAAATCAGCTCACGTTCCCTCCTCGCCTACTCCAAGCTCCATCCCTGCAACCCACAGAGCCACGCAGCAGGGCAAGGGTAGCTCTGTGACACTGCACGCATGGGCAGCCACACGCTAAGCCCACAGCTGGCTTTTTTCTGGGCTGTTGAGCAACACGGACTGGGTGTCAAGTGTAGCTGCTGCCCTGCAGTCACTGAAATTTCATCTTCAGACACACGGCTCAGCATTCAAGTACCAACACGTTGCCTGACCTGGGGATGCTTGAGTAACCACAAAAAATAAAGGGGACAGCACTGAGCGTGCTCTAGGAATTTCTTACCTCACAGTACCTCACTGGTGTTACATTCGTAAAGCTGAGATCTTCAGGGGCTCTGCAAAGTGATGAGAAGTCAGATGAGGTGGCAGACATTCTCTTCAAGAGCCCCTTTTTCTTACATGCTGTTTTGGACAGAAAGGCATCACAAATAGGTTTCAATCACTATATGTTTTTTTCAACAATGTATCAACTATTTTCAATATATGTGGTTTGAATGGTCACCTTTTAAAACAAGTGAATGAAGGGGATTTCTGAGACTGTGATCTTTGTCTGGAGGAAGAGGACTCAAAAGAAACAAATGGAACTTCCCCTAAATAGATATGAGGATGGAGCCAGCTTTATATAGCTTTCCAGCTTTATATAGCTTTTTTGAATTTCAATTCAGGATTTTACTACCGATAATGATAAGTATTTCCATAAATATGAGGATTGTTTCAGCCAGCATGGCTTTATACAAAGCTTAAATTTCTCATCTCAGATGCTTCTGGTAATCCTGGTGCTCAACAGCCCAGTTTCCTAACAGGAGGTAGAAAGTAAACAGTGTACTGAGTGAAGAACTTCCATGTGCAACAAGAAAACAATACAGTCTCTGAAAGATTCAGGGACTCTAAGCAGTCATCAGAAACTTAGACAGAAGGATTCCAGCACTCGGAGAAAACAACTGTGAGCATAAGCATATAATGCGTGCTTATACACTCACAAATATACAGTATATTATATATACTGTATATATAATATATCCTTCAGTTTCTTTGCTAGTCTATACTGTTTTGTCTATTTCAATATAAACTGGCATACCTATATATTAGCACCCAACACTTAGAAGAACCATTAGAGCCTAACACACAATTGCATACTTAATCACTCAAAAAAAAATGCCAGAGTTGATTTGTACCATTAAGTTCTCTCCTTCTTATAAATCTGTTTCGTAATACACCCTTTAATTATATTTTCATACACTTTTTTCCTGATTTGCCTTTCTTATTCAACTTTAAGTGATTCCAAAAAAAAAATCAAAATATTTTGCTTCCTTCTTGCTGCATTAATTGTAAACCAAATTTAATCAGATGAGCTTTAGCATATCTTTGTGCCCAAAACACAAACTGCAACTTTTAAACACTTATTTTTTGGCCGTAGTGAGGTGTGTCTGTAAATTAGCCTGGATACCTATGGACTCTGATATACCTATTAGATTTGTCAGGTATGCGCAAAGAAAAGGAAGTGGTAGAGCAGGATGCTTAAGAGGTAGTTTAATAACAACCAGTATCATTAGCTCTTGGACTGATTCTTTTAAAGATGATGAATATTCAGCTACAGACACAAAACTTACAAGTATGGCCAATGTGTACATATAAACAATCCAGAAATGCTGGAGAATACAGAAGCATTGCCTAAATTGGATGCCCAGATTTTAAAATAAAGTTCATTTTGGCATTCAATATCCCAAAGATATGAGGTATATGTTACAGTAAAATTAGTATTATGTCAGAACAGAAACAAAATACCATGTATTTCAATTAAAAAATAAAAACAACAACAAAAAACAAACAGTAAAAGTGCATATAATATACAGTTTCGCGTTGTATTATAAAAGCCAAAATTAAGGTATCATTGTCATACGTAAATTTCTCTACATTGGTACTGTATGTTGATCATTTTTCCATTACTTGTTGGAGCACCCTTTTTCCATTCAATTATTTGATTTGACAGGTTTTACTCCTCCCTCTGAAGATGCCAATAAAAACAAATATTAGCTGCTGTCTTTCACAGGCAGTTGTTTCTTGTCACCCTGATGCTTTATTTTTCAGGTCCACCTGTTGACATGATCTCTGTGATCTACTGATCATAGACAGGTTTGAAAGAAAAATACAGCTCTTTACATTGTTTTTTATGCTCCATGTAAATTCACCAAACAACACATACTTTAGACATCCTAACAGCTACACAATATTTTTTTTTCCTTGCTCACTGTATCTATTACCTTAATGATGTGATCCATTAGGTTACCTTTTTTCCCTTAAAAATATTACGTTAATGTTCTAGACATGTCATGAGGTACAAAGATTGAGTATCTTGCAACTTTTTTCCATAGAAGTTGGCTTTCAGAAAAAAATGTATGTAGTTCCAGAAGTACTATATAATGTCTCTGCAGTTTCAGAATCTACTTAGATTCACGATTTGTTAACTGATGATATATTTTACCACTAGTGTGCTTTAAGTATCCTTTAAAGTGACAAAAGCCAAAAAGAAATTATCATCCCTCTAACATCCACAGGTGGGTTTCCTTTATTCTTACACAAATATGGAAATGACATCCCATGAAATGATGAGAGGTGTTAAATTGTTTAATCGACCTTTCTGGGGAACAGCTCACTCTGCTCATGCTGTTGTTCATTCCTATTGGAGCTGTAACTTCTCTGAGATCAGGCCTCTACACACAATACATTGCAGAGCTGGACTCGAAACGAACCCTTTTTTGTGCAAGATATTCTACTTAAAGTTAGGAATTGGATACAAAGAAAGACTTAAATGCCAACTAAAGCAAAAATTTTCAAGCTTCAGCTTTGTTTAGACTGACAGGGTTTTGACTGATGGTTTGAGTTGGCTCCATGAATGACAGCATTTAGGTACAACTAAGCCTCAAGCCAGCGGTTCACTGAGCTGCTGTCTCAGTATCTCTCTTTCATGCACTCACAGAAAGTCTTGAAGAACAAATCCTGATATTTCATCAGTTTGTAATTAATCCCAGGTCATGGGGAAATATAGTAAAGCAAGCAAGTACAACCAGAAAATTTGGACTCACAAAGTACTGTGAAGTGCATTTGCATGCTTAAACTCAGCAAGAGTTTCTGTGAAAAGAACTGAAATTGCGTTGAAATTAGGAATAGAAGACTGAAAGCTCAAGTAACTAAAGAAGTAAGTAAGGTCAGAAATTGTTAAATGCCTAACAGAGGTCAGAAGAATGTCCTGTGTGATTGACGATGTTGATATCCTAGGGTAAAAGACTAATTAATAGCAGTTCCAAAATGGAACATGAAGAAACTAACCAGAGTGCAAAATGCAGGAAAAAAAAAAGTGTGTATATATATATATATATATTTTTTTTTTTTTTAAGGAAAATGGGACAGTCATTTAGAATGAACAATAGCACTTGAAATTTCTATGACACCTTTAATCCCAAATGGTGAATTTAACAAATTGAGAAACATTACCTACCATATGTCAAAATCATTTTTTCTGTCAATTACAGAATCCCTGCTGGAGCAAAAAGCAGCATCTGTTTAACAGGTTAGATCTGTTGTGACACACACCACATCTAACTAAGGCTACAGGGAGAGTATAATTGTCAACAGCTGGAATGGGTGCTGAAACTTGGATTGAGCAGCTGTTGGGAAGAGCATGTTAGAATTTCTCCGGTTACCGTTAGTGATGAAGGCTTTATCACAAATCTTGCAGACCTGCCATGCCTGGGGCGAGCGTTCTCATGAGCCAGCTCCGCAGGGCACCTGCCTTGATACGAGGTGCCTTCACAGCTCGTATCCCCTCACACTGCAAGGTTTGAGTGTTATATCCACCAGACAGGGAGGGAGCAGAGGTTGACTGTAAACATCCAGGCATAAGACAGGCCCAGTGGTCAATCAAGAGGTGCTGCCTCTTCAACAGTCATCTTTGAGCTGAGCCTGCACCAAGGTCATCTTTCTTTCACTGCAGCCAAAACATAGGCTACACAGTGAGGTTCAAAGGCATCTTACATCAAAGAAACGATTCACAAGTGCTGCTTCCTAGGGCACGTGGGACTGACAACACAATGCCTGACCTCTGAAACCCATGATCACTAGCAATACAGGGCAGCTAATGCCTTTTAGGGAATTATGGATGTACTCATGGCCACTGATGTTGTGATCATTGAGGAGTGCAAACAATGTGAGCAGAGCTTGACTATTAAAAAAAAAAAAACTGGCAGAAGAAGAGAGTGCAATGAAGGGGAACTGCATGGCCACTGAATCGGTGTATTCTAACTTTAAAAGGAAAAGAAACCATCTAAAGTCATTTCCAGTTTTGTTGTTGGGGCCAGGGAAAGGCAATGCTGTCAAAAACCAACAGCTAATTTGCAGTCATGTGTTGATATCTGGATAGCAGAAAGGCATGTTTCAAAATGTGTTTTGTGCTCCAGGATAAGGAATAATTAAATATGAAGTGGGAAAACAGTCATATGCCAATGAGCAAAATGGATTAATTCAGCAGCCCTTATTTGCTAAGGATGAATCTTCTAGTGGTTTAAAATAGCTACAGGTTGATTAGGGAATTCATTTTGGGATTGCTATAAACAACAGTGCAAGCACTCCAAGTCATCCTACCGAGATTCTGACAACTTTAAGAAGTCCAACTTATTTCACATGACACCTGAAACGTTTTAATTGCAAAGGAAAACAAATAATTTTTCTCATTTTCATTGAGAAACATTTTATGATACCAGTGTTTTCCAAAGGACAAACATTCTGTTTTCTGATTAACTCACAAGTTTTCCTCTGGCCCAATTCAGTCAAAATGTTTTCTCTAACAACTTATGGAAAAACCCTAAAAGTCACAGATTTTTCTGTCAAAGTCAAGGCGGTGACAGCACACAGACATTTTTTTTTGTTCCACTGTTATCTTCTATACTGAAGTTTTCCATTTCTGGTCAAAGGTGATTTGTTTCTATAAATGGAAACAACAGAAACATTTTCACACTTTAAGTGCTTTAGAACAAAACCCTTTTGCGTAAAAAGCAGTCCCAGAGAATTTCATCCTGGGAGGTTAATGCATCAGAGTCCTGTGTCAATGTTGACAAGGGCTCTTGATAATGAGGTTAAAATAAAGAAAAACAAGCTTCATATTGTTTCCCTAATTCAAACATAGTTTCAAAAAGAGACATGCAGAACAAGGATGTCCTTATAGGTCTTTGGTTTCTATATAGAAATTTCTAAGAAAGGCAAGAATATACTTGGACGTAATGTAACCATGACCATCATGTCCTTGAAAAGAGAGAGGTACAACTGTTAATATCCAGAAGGAATACACTATTTGGCAATAGCTGTGCTGTTGTGCAACCGCTCGGACATCCCAGCCCAGAACACTTAGCAGAAAATGCTCTGCTCTGTTAAGTGTCTGCTCCAGGGAATCCAACACACCACCTAACACAAGTACCACCACCCCTAGAGACACTGTGAAACATCGGCCCTGCGCGTGCTGTGCAGTGTGCTCACGAGTCTGCCACTTGGTCTGCCACTTTCTAAATACAGCACATTGCAGAGTACGGAAATGAAAGTGTGTTTGAAGTGACCTTCCTGAGCTATGCCCTGGCAAACCAAATCTCACTGTTCAGACAGCAGTTCTAGCTCCGCAGGTCCTTCTTTGCCACCTATTCCCACCAGTGAACTCTCAAACTTTCCAGTGGGAACTACAATCCAGTTCCTACTAAAATTAAGGGTATGATATAAGCAGTAAATTTCAGAAACTATCAAGATGCACTGTGAGTCAAAGACTAATACATAACAATTTCTTCAGCTATTTTAAGGCCTAGTTATTCTGTGTTTTGAGTTGTTGAGTTGGTCTTCACAAAAAGTCCTACAATAAAGGAGGACCTTGAATAAAATAGCATTTAAATAAGCTCAATTCGAACATTAGAGTCTTCAGTCTCAAGTATCAAGATTCAGGGACAAATACAAAAAATACTTAAGTATTACCACAGAAAGCAGAAGCAGTGTGCAGTAATTGAATTAGACGCATCAGAATTATTTTATCCTGAAGCGAGAATAAACTTGGATTTCATCGCTACTCTCAAAATAAGCCATCCCTAATACCTTCTCTATGACAATGGATGACCCTGGTCAGTCCACTCCATGTAAGATGCTTGATTTGAGGTCTAGAACAGAAATGAAGGTGGAGATGGCCAAGAAGTAGATAGGTTCCTGGCCTTTCCTTCAGTGCTGGTTGGTAGAGCTGCAGCAATGTCCATCAAAGATACATAATGCAAGCACCAAGACATTTTGCTCCCACACTCCTTAAAAAGTAGGTCTGCTGTCTGCAGATTTCAGAAGACCAGGAGTAGGAAGAAGGAAATTTTGACATGTCTCACCTGGAAGCAGGAAGGAAAACATAAAACATTTTCATTCCCATATCCAGAACAACAGCCTGTCTTATTTTATTGCTGCAGCTATCCCATGTTACAAGCTATCTCATTGATGCAAACTATCCTATGATATTGAATTTTTTTTAAGTTTAGAAAAGCTTAAGTCTATGTCAGAACAAACACCGCTACCACTATACTCTAGATAGAGGCCTAGACACAACCGCCTCTCCCAGGCAGAAAGATTTAACACACACTGGGACAAGACTGACCTACAAGTCAGGTCATCTGTCTATAGCAGCAGACACACAGAGCTACAGACAGGTCTCTTCAAGGACCAAGGCTTTTTTTAGATCTATCTCCTTCACTTCCTCCACTCTCTTTGGTGCCTCCTCTGCCAAGACACATTAGTGGCAATGTTACTGGCGCATGATCTCAACGTCCATGATTTCATGTAAACCCCACAACCATTAAACTCCTGTCTCCTTTCTTGCTCTTACTGTAGACTCCCTGCCAGCAGTGAGAAAAGCCACTTTGCCCCTTTGCATTTTGAGATTTTCAGTTAAGATTAATGCCATATCTACAAACCTCCGTATTTACATGCATAGACACATGCGTAAGTGCAATAAATCTCAAACTGTATCAGCAGGACTCTTGATACAGAATATATACTGATTAGATGAGGCAGCTCTTCTTTTTGATAAATTTACTAGCACATAAATACACATTTCAGCTACACTAACATTAAAAGTAATGTCATGAAGGGCTCACTTACCTTCATCAGCAAAACAGGTATAATACAGCATGTCATTAAAAATAAAATAAAAATCCTACTAGGAAATGATTTAAGACGAAACCTGCCTTCAAACATTAAACAAGGTGCCTACCTGTGCTGACAACAACTTCAGTATTTAGCACGAAGTCTGCTCTGCACAACAGTTTGTGAACATAATGGTGCTCCTCATACAGTCCAAACCCTGAAGAAAAAGCAGCATTTTTTCTGACTTGGGTCTATATGTTACCAGCTTTTTGGACTGCTTTCTCAAGGTCACTAAAAAGCAGGAAAAGTCATGAACTGTGCAAGCACCAAAACTATTGTTGATTTAGCTGAGTTGCACATGGCTGCATTTCAGGTCTGCTGGAGCAAGCTTACAGAAATCGTAAAAGGTGGAAGGAAGTTGTTAGCCTCATAGAGAGGGAAGAACAGGACGTAAAAATGGAAAGACTTGCTGAGTACTGTGAAGGAAGCTAGTATGGGACTCAGGTGTCTGAGCTTTTGTGACCACCTGGTGTCCTCCTTCCCTTTCCAACAAGCTTAAGCAAGAGCAGCTACATCAAGAGCTTCCATGACTGCTTTTCTCACGGAAACCAAAACACAAAAATTCTATTGCATGAGAATGAGAAAAAGCTTAGTTTCCTCTAGAAATAAGTTTTCTTGAAAGCTTTGAAATTACTTAAACTTTTTCCCAAGCACAGTGAAGAAAATAAAAAACAAATAAAAGTAGCTATCAGCTGTGTGTGGTTTCAGGGGTAGATACTCTTCCCCAGGCTCAAAACTACAAAGGAATAAGAGAAGCAGACAGAATAAGGTGTTAAAACAGCAGACTAATAGGAGAGTTTTTTCTGGAGATGCAGTTTATTATGTAGGCCTACTTCAAAGTCCACTTCAGGTATATCTGAAACAAGGTTCACTTATCTTCTAAATAATTTAAATAGATTTTTATTTTAAATCATGAATTTATGCATAAATGTTGCTGAAAAAAAAAAAAAAGGATTAGAGCTCTAAACAGGTCAAATAGTACACTTTAAAGTGTTAGGAGTGCCTACCTGTGTATGCAGGTATACATTTTGATTAAAAACCATTTAAATTTAGAAAGCATATAGTAAATAACTCTCACTGATAAATTTAAGTGTACCTTTACTGCTCATTTCTTCTGGCAACTGCAATTTTGAACTCTCCATCTGACTGTCCAACTCAGCAGAAGGCAGGCCTACAGGACAAACAAAACAAAACTTTTTGCTCTTTCAGAAAAAGCAACGTGATGTTAATCCATCAAGTAAACTTTGCTAATATAAAATTCAAGAAATATGGCTACATTGGATAACAAGGTAATAGCATCAAATAAATTCTCCAGTTCTCTTCCTCTTTTTAAACTTTTCCCGAAGTTCCCTTTCTTATTGCCAAACAATACAAGAAAACAACCACCACCACCTATATGTTCCCTTAGCAGAGATACATTTTGGCGGCAAAGCACATCTTTAAGGTTTATACATTAGCATCAGCTCTACTTCTATCCAAACTAATTTCCAGCTGCAAAGAAACAAAGTAGAAACCCTGTGAGAAACCAAAAATTCAGAGATGGAGCAGATCCACTTCTCTCTCACCTGCTCTATTAGTCAAAAACTTATATCATCAACATTTAAGAATGGACTGGAGCTGTTCATTTTTATAACTAGTATACAAGAAAAAAGTAACCAACTCCACAGGAACCAAACCTACCTGTGCATAATGCAGATTGCTAGACAGACAGCAAAGGTTTGCAGGGTCTCAGGTATGTTTAACACTGTAGTATTTGTCTGAATACGCCATTAAGTTCAGTATTGTAGCTCTGTTAGAAACCAGCAGCCAATGCCAAGAAAAGCACTACAGCAACAATATAGTTTTGTGAACCAACGAGGGAAAAATCCTGACCTTAACTGGCAAGATGTGCCATGACTTTTTTTGTTATTAATAAAACAGAAATTAAGTTAAAAGGTCCCTAAATCTCAATCTTGTAAAGCCAAATGATGGCAAATTCAGATTTGGTACAAGATATAGGAGAAATATTAAGCCATTTTTTCCAGTTCATGCAAATATGGTCTTTTCCACCTGTTAGCTTCTCCTCTATCCATCAGCAAGTGAGTAACAAATCACTTTCCTTACCTCATGGAACCAAATCCTACTGTTATACCACAAGCTTCATTCTGGCTCATATATTTGCTGTAAGTCAGTGAGCACAGAAGTCAATTTACAGCATTGATCTTCACACCCACATTCAGAACAAAGACTTTGTCTATTTTCACATTGCCAGAGAGATCTATTTCTGGACAGAAGTCACTGTTAGCCCTTCCTTCAAGGGCATCGTCACTTCTTTTTTTCCTAACTTTCTCTCTTTGCTCACTATTTTCAACACCTAAACTGTCAAACAGAACTTCAGCCCACCGCCACTGAGATCTGCTCAGATCAGGTTTCATACCGAGAGTGCAATCTAACAGCCAGTGTCCCAAGAGAAGGGGGTTTGAGTGACCTGGCAATATAGAATAAAAGTAATCCATTAGGCAGAAAAAAGGGCTGTGCTAATCTTGCCTCTGCCTCCAGCTTTCCCTTTCTTATCTTGCATGGCTCTAATCTCTGTACTTTCTCACCATTAAGCAATTTTCTCAGAAGTCCAGGCCAAGGTTTTGCAGCTGTGCCATATCAAAGCTAGCTCTTGGACCACGGATGGCTGAATCCTTCCGAGGAGTGTCACAGCTCTAGAATCAAGGCTACAACACTTAACTGGAAAGAACTGAAGTTCCTGATGAAACTGCCAGAAGAGTAAGCCTTTGAAGAGCTAGACAGGAGAGGAAAAAAAAAAAAAAAAAAGACTAGCAGATAGAAAACGGGGAGGTAGAAATTGGCTGGATTGGTGGGCCAGAGACAGAAGTGAATGTGTTTACACACACACACACCACATAAAGAAAAGTACAACACAAAACAACACATGCAATCTGACTACAGCAAAGAAACTGAGAAATTGTTTGGAGAAGAACCTGAGGGGTAGCAGAGAACATGGTGAAGCACAGATGAAGATATTAAAATATGGCATGTAACCTCTTTGTAAGTCTTTTATTGCTGTTCTTCAAAAAGCAGCAATCTGAGACATGAATATGCCAAAAGGGTCATATTTACAGGGCCTTATAATGGAAAGGCAAACAAACAAACAAAAACCTCTCTCCCTGGGAGAGAGGAATAACTACTAGCTGGGAATAACTACACAGGAATTTGAAATACTTCTATATATTTGTTTGTAAGGTCTAATTTTTCCCTTGGACAAATAGGACATAATGATCACAGAGATGGTGGCTGAGAACGTAGTCTGGTGTGAGCAAACTGTTTGCATCCAAAAAAATGAGAGTTTCAACAATGACAAGATCTGATAAAAGGAGGCTTGACCAGAATATTCTAGGCTCTCTAGCTGCCAGCATCACCGGATGGTGAAGTAATGTATTCTTGCATGGACAGCCTGGGTCCTTGCATGATCCTGCCTGGGTCCTGCAGGAGCATCTAGCAATGGAAATGCCTCTCACACTACAGAGAGGCAATAGCGCCTGATGGCATCACCAGGTCCTCCTGAGTTGGCTGTGTAACACAAACTGCACATGCTTTTGCTCCTGTTTCACCACATACCCAGATCTCCTTTTTAATGTATACTCACAAACCATAACCCGCAGAGCAGGGACGTGATGCCCTTGAAAGTCTGTTTCCATCATCTGCTCTTGGCTGCAGGTTGTAGTTACTTTCTTCCACTCCTGGAAGCTCTTCCTGCTGGCAAAGAAAGCGTGGTCAGAAGGGGCTGCTCAAGTGACCAGCGTATGAGTTCCCATTAGGGAACTCACCCTGGCAAGATTCAGTCTCCCAGTAACTAGAAAGCATCTTCTAGTGCTGTTTAGCTGCTGTGAGATGTTTCACACTATGTAAATAATACTGATGTGCCCCTAAAGCTTCTTTTCTGCACCAAGTGGTATGGGAAACACATGCCCTGGGGCTTGATAAGCCTAACCCATGAGTCACCTGGCTTGACTTTGAATTCTCGAGAAAAGAATAAAAGGAAAACCACCACGTTTATTCAATAAAGTCAAGGTTTAAACTTGGGATTATAGAGCATGAAACAAAGAGAAACAGAGACATGACACCACTTAGGGTAAACCTAACGTCAGTCTGGTCTTCTAGCTTGACCAAGTATTTCTCCAAGGCGTATCTTGGCTGGGGAAACCAGGCTGGTGACTCACATGCCATATCCAGCATTTTGTCATTCCTGCCAGAGCTAACCTGCATCTCTGTTCACCCTCAGAGACCAAACAGCAGTCCCCAGATCCATTTCACTCCCAGGCACTGTCTTTCAAAGCTGAAGTTTCAGTGTAACAGGCACATCCACCCCAACTGCCTCTGGCCTGCATTGCCTGAGGTAAAGCTGCAGCTCTGTTTTCTCCGTGCTTTTTGTTTCTTTCACTTCAGACCTCCCTGATCCTGTTCTCGTCTCACAGGAACATAGCTTGCACGTTCCAGGTGCGTGGCATGGCACCATGAAAAATAACACAACTGCAATTTTACCCTTGCACCAACTTATTATTTTGTATTAGTAGTCTTGTTGAAGGCTTTACATTTTCAGGAACATCATAGCACTTTATAAACAATACATCAATCCAAGGATTAACTACATAAACATCCTGTTAATCTTGCTGTCACTATTTCACCACCATCTGATGATAACCACATAAGTTATTGCTAATACTAATAATTAGTCTTGACAGATTTGGCACATATAATGGTTTCTACAATCCCTTCCCTGAACAAGCATTTCCATACCTCTGATCACCCCTGCCTTGGTGGCACCTGGAGAACCTCCTGCTTTCTCCATAGAGTATCTTAACTCTTTAATCTGATCTCACAACAGTTTTACATCCGCCTAATTGAAGGGGTCACAGCTACAGAGAAAATATAAACATGGGTTGATAGCATTTTCTAGTGATGTCATGCATCTCATGAAAAGGCTGTAGGAAAAAATGAATCTCAGACAGAACTGAAATGAAGAAGGAAAAGCAAAGAGGTGTTGATGAAGGCAACTTTTTGATTTTTCCCTGAGGTGGAACAAGTGGTTTGTTAAAAGAGCAAAGTACTAAGTCACAAATCTGAAAATATAGAATAGTTTTTCAGTTTTTGAAATTTACTTTGACTAAAGTATTTTTTGCTTAGAAGTGGTAACTACATACTTAACACACATGCTGACACAAAAATGTCCCCCAAAAATAATTGTCTTCAAGTTATCAGAAGCAAGTTTCTTAGCAAACTTAGTATAGGGTTTAGAGTTAGTTCTAAAAACTACATTTTTTTACTGTGTATTTATACTGACAAATCAATTCCTTGGATAACAGATGTTTAAAAAGGAACTGCTAAACTTTCACTGGTAGTTACATTAAAGAGAAGTATAAGGGCAGAATTCCTGAATGCAAGAATGTTAATCAGTGCATGCCCTTTACATTTTACGAAAAGCAAAAGATTCACATAAAGAAACCATTATTTCCCAGCTATGACTTTACTGCATAGATTTATCTTGTATCATTTTAAGATTCAAATTCATTTTGCTAAAGAGCATATGTACTTTTAATATTAATAGTAAAAAAAAATGTTGTGTCTTTGGGGTATTAACACTGTATTAAACACACCCCCCCACACACACCATTTCTTGAAACATGACGGTATATATTAACTAACACAGATTTGCACAACACTTTAAAACCTCTGGATTCTTGCATGGTGCACAAACAAGGGAAGTCTGTTAACAAAGCTAATGCTGTTCTGTTTGTAAGGTCAAGCATGAAATAGTATTACATTCATAAAATGGTATTACATTCACCTACTACTTTGCACTCACCCATAGCTCAAAATGGGATAATGAAGCAGCGTGACTTATCTAAACGTAATGGAACTGTGGTGGCTTCACTTGGCTATCAATAATTGCTGAAATTTACTCAACTTGTGAAAAGTGAAGAGGGAGTAAGTTGTGGAGATGCCACTTGCTTCTCCCATTGCAAGGTGTCTGCCACGTTATGCCATTTAAAATAGTGCTACTACCTGAGAGGGACTTTTCACAAAAGAATTGACACATTACACATCACCTCATCCACCCTTCAAAAGACCAAATGAGATGCCAGGAATTCTAGCTAAGCAAACGGACTGCTGAAACCAAGAAACTATGTTCACATTGGAGTGTTAATGGCATGTTCTTGTCCATCAATAGCAAAATCTCATCCAGCCTGATGTTAATACCGTGTGGGTAGACTCAATATTTGTTTTTATATATAAAGTGTATTAACATGCTAGAAATTATTTAAATTGCTTAATTTTTGCAGACATACTTGATTGTGCTAATATTTTTTCCTCAAACTTCCTTGCTTAAGTATCTTAAGCTGTCTTCCAAAATGTAGTCACTCACATTTTCTATACTTAATGTATTGTTGGTTTTTCCATTTCCTAACCTAGCTAAAAATTAAAAAAAAAAAACACACTGCTGCTTAGCTATAACATAAAAAGCCAATAATACAATGAAAAAATAAATCAGTGTGATATTGTAGAAATATATTAATATTCTATATTATTAACATTAATAATATTGAATATTACTAAAATATTATTAATAATATTATGTGCTATTAATAATATTATTAATAATATGTATGTTCTGCTACAAAGAAAAGCTCTGTAGAGGACTAAATACTCAACATATTACATAGAACTACTCGAGAGCTCTTTATTGTGGTTACTTCAAACAGGAATCCATTCTCTGCTTTTTTTCCAGGGAAACACATTTTACTGGAAAAAAAGAAAAAAAGAAGTTATAATTCAGAATATTTTAAGAGAAACCATATTTCATTTTAAAGTGGTTTGTGTACAAATCAGTATATTTCATTTTTCTGAACTGACTCATGTTTTACTTTCTGGCAGTTAACAAAAACAACAACAAAAGAGGTGACCTCTCCCTTTGCCTCAGCGGAATGTATTGGCTTCCATTCTCATCCAGGGAGAATATTATAAATTTATCTCTGACTAAACTCCTTGGTGTGTGGGAGTCACATAAGCAGGTGATTCACAGGAAAGTTATTTTGGTAAAGGAAGAACACCTATAATATTTTTTAAAGGAAAAAAATAAAACACTTTTCCCCTTGCCCACCCCTCCAGGATGCTTAAAATGGGAAAATCTGGATAAATAATGAAGTTACAAGGTGCTTTGGGATATTTCAGTAATTCAAATTATAATCAATTTATGAATGTTGACATATTTGCATATCCTGTTGAGATTAAAAATCTCTATGCTTGTAAAATCTTGATTTTTCAGGACTTTGATTCTTGGGGAAAGCAAAACAAAACAATACCTTTAAATATGAGCTTTTAAAATCAACAAAGCTCAGCATTCAAATACCAGACTATTTTTGTGCGGGACATTTCAAAATCCTCTTTAGCTCTCACAACAGCCCCTTCAGAGAGATTTATATAGAGTGTATCAGGTGAGTGTAATTATTCTTCTGCTGGAATTCCCCTATTAACACTTTAATTCATGCTTCAAGGAAAAGAACATTTTCTTATCCAGGTTACTCCTCAGTGATACAACTGCAGCTTCCTGGAGGTGAGATTTTTGTGTATCACGTTATAAGTTTAAGAAATCTTAATTTCACAATTACATTCTGATTGTGCAAACGCAAGTCCATGTGGGCACCAGGTGGATGCAAACCAGTTCCCGTCAGGTAGTGAAGCTGCCTTGCCACCTGAAACTCATCTTTCCCAGGTCTCTGTCTTCATGGAAAGTACCATGGTGAAAACAAAACAAGACTGCACCTTAGAGAAAAAGCAGTCAAGCATCTTGAATTCCTTTGGCCTTGTTATACTTCAAAACGATTTATAACCTAAAAAATCCAGGAGACTGTTGATATCTAATGTTCTTTTACATATTAATGTTCAGTTTGCTTTTCCCCAGTATTTCCCTGTTTTTACAAAACACTCTCATGTGTTTGCTCATAGGGATGCATTGAATTCCCTATTCTATCTCACTAATGAACTTATTACTGTGAACAGGAAGTACCCAGTGAATGTTTCTTGCAGTCTCATTTTTCCCCATGATACAAACAGGCTGTGTCAGTACTGCACCAAAACCCCTTAGATTAAAGACTTAGCTGTTGATGGAGTATCACCAAGTAAAACCTGTCAATGGTTTTCTCTGACAGCTAAACTAACGTCTTTTAACCAGCAGCTGCTGAGCTCTAACAAGCATAAAATTACATTGATCTTAATCAGATCAGACACCAGCTTCTCTCAACTCTACCTCAAAGACTATCTGATTTCATGCTTCATTATAAAATCAATTAATCGTTTCATTGCCTGGTCATTTTATGTGTTATTTATAAAACATATTGGTTGATATTCTAAAGATTGCAGGCAGTCAGGATATTTTGTCTGGGAACCCCAAAGGATATGTATGGAAAAACGGGATTATAAAAGACAGGATTATAAAAACAATGTTATAAATGAGTTCACCTGATCATCCAAAATGGCATAATCAATTGTACCAGCCACAGGGCATTTCCTGCATGCCTAAAAGCCCAGCTTTCCAATGAATATCCTGGTCTTTTTATTATTAAAAAAAAAAAAAAGAGAGAGAGAGAGGGAGAAGTGCCATTCACAAATCCATCCCCAGCATCACCTTTTGCAAGTGCGCTCACACTTCCCAAAGAAGAGCTCGACCTCCATTGAGCTGACAGCTGAAACATCTTCAGTGCAGTGAGTTGGTTTAGAAGCTGAAATTAAGCATGAAACACCGAGTTAATTAGCGAAGACAAATAACTAGTGACTACAGTATGCCAGACGTGGAGTATTTAAACCACAATGTTTTGTTGCTTTACAATAATTATTTCATTTTCCGAGCAACTTGGAAATTTGAGTGGATGTTTATGGAAAACTGGATCATTCACTCAAGCATGACTTTCCAAATGAAGTTTATTTTAAAGGAAGCTATTTATAGTTTACTCTATCGAGTTTTTCATTTACATCTAGATTCAGCAAAGCACTTAAGCATGACGCATTTGAGCTCAAGATGCACTTCCATGAATATTTAACTAGAAACATTCGTTTCAGACAAACATGATTCTAACATTAGCAAGAAGGGAAAGAATTTGTTAAGCTTAAGCCCTGAAAAAGATATGCATATATCTTTTCTACTACAGACAGTCACTGATGTCTGGAAATTTTTATTTCTATTTTTATCTTTTGTTCCATTTGCCATGCATGCGTTCCAAAGAACACTGGGCCTTAGCTTTCCCAAATAAGCATTCCTAAAACACTTGATTTTTTCCTTGAACTCAATTTTACAGTGTAGTTTTATCCACTATTTCTTAAGCTTATTCACTGGTAATCTGTTGTACTCTCTTCCTCTGTGATTTACAAATATTCTTCGAAAGGAGTACGATGACCTTTCTTTAACCCTGGCCTACTTTTATGGTATCAATAATGTTATATAATATCGTTTATATTTATTGCTGCTCTTCTGAAACCATTCCTCATTCATAATGAAGCTGTACAGGTCGTGGTCAAAGCTGTGCTTCATCCAGTGCAGCATCCTCCTCTTAACAATGACCACCAGTGATTGTTTCAAAGGACATGCACTAGGACTTAAAAAAAGGAGCTTACTCCTGACAGAACAAACTTTCAGCCAATTAATTAAAAGTCAATTTAGGTCTCCTCTCACATTTTTTATTTGATTTAGTCAATACCATGGCAGTGCCTAACAGTTGGATAATTTGAACAAGCAGGTACCCTGCTTTAGAGTCCTAAAGCCTAGGTTTTTGGAGTCCTAAAAGCCAGGTTTTAGCCAAGTGACTGGATGCCCTTCAGTGAGCAATGTAAGATTCTCCCAGAGTAAAAGCATTAAAGGGGGGAACACTGATCTCAAACCAACTTAAAGTGTTTTACATTTCAGGTGTTCCTTTATCTTTTACATAGAAGTGGCTGAAGTCTGCAACATTTCAGGTTCCCCACTCTAGGTCTGTGGCTGTTGGTCATGGTCCCACTTCTGCCTGTTCCTGGAAAGTGACCCTCATACAAATCTTATATTTCTTGAAGCTTCTTCATTACTGCTCTGTCCTGTCCCAGCACAAATCTAATAGCTGTATTTACCTGCATTGCTTCAGTACTGGGAAATCACCTTTATCAAACTTGTCAAACTAGTGAAAACCCAAAGAGTATGAGTTGAGGTCCCACAAGGAGGATCATGTCTTGTGGCAGATATGCCCTTGAGGATGGGTTAAGCACAATACAATGCTTGATAGTTACTTAAAAACCTGCCTTGAAAGGACACACTCCACCAGCACAAGTAGGGCCTCAGATCCTGCTCTGCACAGGACATCACACTTTCAGCATGTTGGATAAAGCCTTACCCCATGGGCTCCCAGAGTAGGAGAGCAGCAGAACTTCTGTACTACAAGCATAGTAAATGCCAGATGGAAAGTGTCAGAAAATAGTCTGAAGGAGGAAGCCTCACTCTGAACACCTGACACTAGATAAGCACATCTGACAAGTCTTTATCTATTACTCTTCTGGAATGAGGGTGTGCATTTTTCCTTGACACTGTAAGAATTAGTTAAAATACTTGTTCAGGCAAATCTACTTACAACAGCACTTTTATCAGCTTTTATTAGTTAGGCTGATTGTATATAGTACTCATGAACTGAGAATTACATTTCCTCATGCATGTCATCCATGAGAGCATGACACTTTTTTTCCAGGCTTATGCCTTCACTATTTCAGAATCCAAGGGTGACTGGGGACTTGCTAAATATTCCTCCCCAATCACGTGACTAGGAAGACAGTCATCAGGTTTAAAGAAAAGACTACTTGGAGAAAGACTATAGAGAAAAATAAAAATAAAAAAATAAAAAATTGCTATGGATCATAATGACAGCAGTTTTGTTGTCAACTATTTGTCTTTTCTACTCAGTATATAAAAAATGAACATCACCATTTGGCCGCTGCAGGGATGCCACTTAGTAGTGAGTGGTTCAGTCTTGCTAAATCATGAACAGGCCAAGCCAAGTCGTTTGCAAGTTACTGCCACATAGGTTGCAGAAGTCCTTTGCTTACTGCTAAGAACATCGAATCCTAAGGAAATCATGTAACACCTTCCTGGAATAAGTCCTAAATTTGCATAATGTACTTGGGTACTGAAACTTTTCATAGGGTATCGCACAAGTCCATAAAATATTTTGGGTTTTCACTTGGCGGGGGGAGAGAGGTTGGACCAGATGATCTCAAGACAGTGACTGTAATTTCAACACCATAATCTGTAGCAGCAATGCTAAGCAATCATACTATTACCATTACATTCTTGCACATATAACATCCATTTTTGCATCATCTGCAGTTTTCATTGGTCTACAAATAACTGCAAATAGTTCCTATTGATTAGCTCCTAGTTGGTGGATAATGTGAAGAAATTAGGTCAAAGATAGCTTCAGCAATGGAACAAACACATCATCTATAGCATTAGGGGTCGGCTAAAGTGTTTGCAACCAAAGTCATGAAAAGGACAAATCTTTCCAGCATCTCAATGTGTTAAAAGAGATTATGTTTACATTGTCTTTGATTGCTTTTTGGTTCAATTCCCTACATAAGCATAGAAAGACCTATGTAAAATAAAACTTGTGAGAAAATACATGTATAAACAGTGCTAAACTTAGAGGATGTATGCCAACATTTTTCTCCCTTCTTTTTTTTTGTTCTCCAAAGAATGCACATAGATGTTATTCCTGAGTCACTGAGTAACTAAATCAATATATATACCTTTGTAGGTGACAATTCTTCCTTGCTTTCAAACACTCAAGTGTAAATAGAGCCGCTCCCGGTAAATTCCTATTGTACTTTCACACCAAGGCACTTCACTGGGTCTCATGCAGTGTCCTTGAAGCCCTTATTCTTCACAGTACAGAAAAGTTTTTATGCCTTGATTTCTATCAGATGACTGATTTGTTTGAGATTGGAAAGAGAAGCACCACTCTTCAGTTTCTACTGGGGATAAAAGTCTTCCCAGACAACTCAGAAAAGAGGGATCCTTACCTCTCTAGGTGGATTTTTGTCTGTGGACTCCTTGCATTTCCTTTCTGGCCAGAATTGTCCTCACTCATGGTCAGAGTAATCAACACTGTCATCAACAGCTTCCTTAAATGAAGATTCGGCTTCCTTAAATGAACACAAAATTTTAATATCAGTTACTTTAGCTCAACAGCTCTCAAAAGTTTATAAATTATATCAACTCTCAAGAACACACAAAGCTACTTGCATTTCTTTAATTACTATAATAAAAAAAGAAATCAGAAAAAAATCTGCAATGATTTTACTGTTTCTCTAGTAGAAAAACAAAAGTATAATACCAAAAGCCTGTGCAGTGACAGAGCTTGACTAAAAGAAAACTTAACTGGCATTTAATAAGTTTAGTGACATTTTACTGTAAGTGGCAATTTTGAAGAAGAAAGCACTCTATAGGAAGAATTTTGGTATGGAAGAAGAGACAGATGAAGCACGCTGAACATATTCTACAATGTTTTCCTGTTGTGTGAAGACAGGAAATCCATTTGTTTGGGTTATGCATTGCGTGGTGAGAAGCAGATCATATTTACCACTTAAGGAGACTTTATGCTTTTCACACACATCACAGAAGGAAATGATATGGTATTGTCTCATGTCAGGAGATGCAATGATTGGGATGGCTTGGGTGCCTTCTCCCAGACTCCAGTGGTTACCTGGATAAATAAAACTCCACCAGTCACTCATTCAGACAGGTCAGGAGATGGGTAAAGAGGTGAGAAAGCTGCCTGCAGGCAAGCTGTTGGACTGATAGAATAATATTTAGGGTTGGACAAATAACTCTGTTTTGTCCTCAGGCATGCAACCCGCCTGGTGCAACCCAGGTCTGATGTTCAGCCCCACCCTACCAAGACAGTCATCTCTTCCAAGCCCCATGTTGCAACCTGCTTCCCTCTCTTCCTGATGCTGTCTGAATCAGTGGAAACAAAAGGGTGCATTGTCTGAACTAGTGAGAGGTTATATCATGGTTTCCAGAAAAAAAAAAAAAAAAAAAAAAAAAAAAAGAGCACCCAAAAAAGAAAACAGAAAGATATGTTATCTTGTTTCAGTTTCAGTCCCCTGCAGAAGTGCAGAGATTATTTAATGTACGGAGGGATTAGGAGAACATCTACTACTCATGGGCTGTTGCATATCCACATATTGATGCTAAGCATAAAACAATGTTGTGTGTCAAACTTTGTGTCATCCAGTAAGACATTTCCAAATAGGTTAGAACTCCACAAGAAACTTCAGGTAAAAAATTATCTCAGTTATCAAAACAGCAAAGAAGCCACTGTGGAGACAAAAGACAATTTACACAGGTACTTAATGCTCTTAGAAAGACCTATTTTAGCTAAGAAAAACACACTTATACATGTAGATAAAGATGTTGCGAAAGCCTTAAGATTACAGCAAATATTTTGAACAAGACATCAAAATAGTTGCAGTCCAAGCAATTTATGTTTTCCTACAATTTTATGAGAGTGGGTGTAATGGTCCAAAATATGTATGAGTGAATCAAATGTTTTACATCAACGTTCAAGTATTTTTCCTTCCCCCAGCTGACAATGACAAAAATATGAATGCCTGTAACTCTGCAGAACTTAGTATTTTCACACGGTGCATTTTTTTTTCTTCCTGTTAACAAAGGGTTCTCAGACATCAATCCCACCCAAACCTTACTAGAAATATTTCTGGTGAAGTGCTGTGTTGCCCTTGGCTAGCCCTGTAAGTGGTGGGTATCCTTAAGAGTCTTAATGATAAGACTCCCAGCTCAAACAGCAAAAGCATTCAGTGAACTTCTGTGCAAACACCACTTCAGTTTGCCACTTTCTGTACTTAAGAATCACACACACAAAAATAATAGAGCTATAAATTTAACAGCAAAATACATGTAGCCCCTTTAGCATTGTCACAGTCAGTATTTGCTGAATGCATCAGCTTCATGACCACAGCTGTCAAAAAGGGAAGATTTTCTGATTTTCTCTCCTTAAAATTTTACATTTTATGGAGGGAAAAAAAAAAAGGAAGGAAGGAGACGAACAAAAATATTTGGGGTGGTGGCTATTTGAAAGTATTACTATTTATTTATTTAAAGATGGTTGTGTTATCTGAATCTCATTATAAGAAAATTGGGAGGAGGAGGAAGGGCAGAAAAAAACATTTTCACAACATGATGGCAGAGGATTAAGTAATGAAAATCAGAAACCTCTTAGGAACGACTTGCGAAAAAGGAATCTCAACCATTTCAAACTTATGCAAGGGAAACAACAGCAAGAAAGACGGCATTCTGACTTGAACAAGGGAATAAAAGTACTGATTCTGACCTTCAAGGCTCAACTCTGTGAAAGCTGGACGTATTTCACATTATTTCCTGTTACACTGAGGAGAAAAGAAAACAAATCCAGGCATCCTAACAGGGCAAGCTCTCATCTTCATATGAATTAAGGCTCAAAACACTGAAGTTGTACTGATCTGAAACAGTAATATAATTAGGGTTACTTAAGATCATTTTATTCAAAAATGACTTCCTCTGGCCACATCAGTTTCCTCTCTGCCACTTCAATCACTTTGGAAACTGTACTGCTATCTCTAGCAGTACATCTCTAGCCAATTGCTCATCTTATCTATACAAACATATCTGAGGCACTCATCTCCCCAAAGCTGAAATGAGAACATTAGCAGAAAATATAGTATTTTTTCCCCTTCTGCTTCTAGAGAGGCAATGTAAAGAGAGAATGCTGCGGTTTTGCTCTGCACGTTCATAATTAATGCTGTGTCTGGCTATCAGAGAGAGAACATCAAATGCAACTGTGCTTGGAAACCGTGTTTTGACCCAGATCATGATTCCAGGTACCACACATATTTTGTGCTCTCTGGTACCTTTGAAAACAGGTCCTCCATTATCCAGAGCTGCAAGTTGAGAGTCTTAAGCCACACTTCTCTGTCTCCATCCACAGATGGAAGATCACCAGAATGGAAATAGATGGAATCACAGAGTCACTTCCACCGAAAAATACCTTCAATATCATCAAGTCCAACCCTCAACCTGACCTACCAGGTCCCATCACTAAACCATGTCCCTTACTGCCACATCTTTGAGACTACACATCCACACCTCTCTCAAATACCTCCAGGGATGAGGATTCTACCACTTCCCTGTGCAGCCTGTTGCATTGCTTAACCAACCTTTCCATAAAGAAATTCTTCCCAATATCCAATTCTTCCTAATATCCATTGCGACAGCATGTAGGAAAGGAAAAGCTATCTCAGCCTGGAGCATTCAGGTTGTCCTCATCGCAGGCTGGAGAGTTTTCCCCATCTGATTATCTTTTTAATTGTGTTTGGTATTTGCTGATTTATAATTAGTTCTGCTGTTTTGCACCTGGTTTGATATCAGACAAATACCAGCTCCCTTCTGCTGCACTTTAAGCCTCTAAACAAAAGACACTGCCTTCATATATTTAAGCCTCAACAACTGCAGACAAGCATAAGATGGAGATATTCATGGCTAGACTTAGAAACAGCCTCCAGGTCTACCCACCATGCTTTGTATTTTGCTTCCTATAGGCAAATGAGGAATGAAGCTATCTACCAGACACATGCTTGCCTGTTATATTTTGTGCCCAGAGCTTTAAATAACAGCAAGCATGTACCCTTAAAACAGCATGCCCACAGGTTTGGACACTACACGGACCCAAACGAGGGCATGGAGGAAAGGCTGGGAGGCCAAGCATTTGCACCATGGGGCAGAGCAGCACGCATCAGAAGTCCCCCTCAGCCTCAGCCAGACAGAAGTATTGCATGCTGCGTGTTGCTCATGCACATCACAGCCAGCTCATTGAGGAACAGGCATACTACGTGATCCATATGCACTTGTGCAAGAGCTTGTCTGCAATATCAGGAGCCATGACTACAAAGAATAGAGGAGGCCCTTTTACCTACTTACTTTAATTCATACCAGCTATGGAAAAAGTAAAACAAAGAATAGCTGAGTAGCTCCTGTTTAAGCACTTCAGACTACTGCTTAATTCAGGGAGAAAGCAGAACAGAAAGGAATCCAAATAGGAGATTAAGAGCTATTTATTCTGCCATGGCCTTTGACAAGCAGAACATACAGAATCCCTTTCTCCTTAAGCACAAAAGCATAAATGGTCAATTTCCTTGCTCATAACTCCATAACTATTTTCTATTGACTTCTGTTAATTTTTCTGCTGACTTCTATGCTCAAAGCCTTCCCGGCTTTTGAGTTCAATAAGTCTCTGATCCACAGAGACAGATTCATCACTTCTACCTCCTCTCCCTGTAATCAGTTCCAAGAACTGCCTCAATTTCTTGGAGTTCATTCTTTCTCAGAACTAACCATTAATCAAAGATATCCAGTGTTTCAGCTAAAAAAGCTCATTCCTCAACTAGTATATTCAATGAGATTTTCTTATATATTATTGTACATCTTGTATATTATTGTACTGCATCTAACCTCCTTCAACATAACCATACCTTTGGGACACAGTGGGCCTCAGATGTTGGCTAGCTGCAGGATTAGGTAAGCGTACCCGGTCTCTGAAAACAGACTCAGGCATTTCCCTCATGGATTTATGCTTGGAGACACCTGTACTGGCTTTTACCGTTATTAAAACAGTTGCTGATGGAAAGTCACTACTGGGATTACGCAGATTGCTTTAGAAGGGGAAACCTGGCTTTTGGGTGTGATGACCCACTTACTTACATGCTTCATGAGGCACCTACAGCTCTATTGCATGGGGGCAAAATTAAGCCTTATGGACTGACTTGTTTGTCTTGCTTACTTGGCCAGATCACCCCTGCATGTTTCCAGGAACAGAAAACGTCTCCTACAGCAATTATCTGGAAAAGAAATGAAACAAACAGCATTTTTAAACGCTGTTTGTCATGATCCAACTTGGTTTATGGTATTGAATGATTCATTTTGCTGAATCACAAAGAACAACTGAGAGATTTTTTTGGGAAATCTTACATTTCAAAAGGTTGAAGAGCAGGATTTCCCTTCCCTTGGCCTCAACGTGTATATCTGCAGTCTGGGGGCATGCCCTCCCTGCCCCAGCCCTGTGTCTGCTCAGGATGCCCCTGGGGCTTCC